TTGTATGATTTTGTTGTCAGCAGCACATTCATTAGTAATATTTCATTTGTTCAGATGTAGTTATTTGAGTGTTCCCTGTATTTTATTAGCAGTATATTTGGGTTTTCAGAAATATTGATGCACAAATTCTGTAGATTTGTAATAATTGGGCATGCATATCCATCCATCCATCCATCCATCCATCCATCCATCCATCCATCCATCCATCCATCCATCCATCCATCCATCCATCCATCCATCCATCCATCCATCCATCCATCCATCCATCCATCCTGTGTCTGAAAAAATGCTCTCTACTTTAAATAAGTCTTACCCAGATAAATGTCCTAGGATAAATGATAGTAACAAACTGTGCAAAAGTGGAGTGAAATAAAAAGGATGAAGGCATTGTAGAGATATGATTTTTTTTCCTGTTTAAAAAAGACAAGTACATGCCACAGTTTTACCTTTTTTCATTTTCTGATCCAAAATAGGTCAGAACTGTATATACAGTGATAAATAAATACAAACATCCCCACAGATTTTTGAGTAGATATCAGTAATAAGAAAAAAAGTGAAATAAAATAAGTCGTCACAAAATCCCTGTTCAAATTCTGGTTCAAGATGTTTTTACCATTCATCTTGCTTTGCTGGTATAAGACTCGGTTTTCTACTTCTCAAGTGCTGTTGTTTTGCCACTAACATAGAAAAAACCTGAATGCTTAGTGAAAAAAGGTAAGTTAATGGGCAAAGATCTCCATCATGATGCTTTAGGATTAAGTTTTCTCCATAAACTATCAAGAAGTCTTGACCACAGTGAAGCTTAATGACTGTATTGTTATCCTTACTCATCACAAACTTTTTTGTTTATAGTACTACTGCTGTAAGAAGAATGGATCTGACAGCGGCTCCCTCTCTCAGCAACACTTTGCCTGCAACGCCTGCAGCATCACTGGACTGGATGGACCGATCAGCACCCCTCTGTCTCTGTCCCCACCAGAGCCGACCAAGTCCTTCAACCCCACCAAACCGACCGTGGGACATCGGCGCTACTGTCCCACCTGCTCACCGTACGAGTCCCCCTTCTACATCCGTACCACTGACGCTATGCGTAATGGAGGGGAGCGCGTCACCTACATGCCAACACACTATGAGAACCAGGCATTGGCAATGCCGCTGCCCGCCATCCGAGGCACCTTGCTGAGGGAAGCCCAGGGAGGTCGGCCTCCTGAGTTTTACACCAACACCCGAGCCATCAGCACCGAGGTGTGACCACCTCATATTTATTTTCTTTACACCAGCGCCACTGAAAAGACACAACCACTATTGTAAATTTTGGCTCTCAATGCAGATGCTAGTGAGTTTGTGGAGGCAACACATTTGTAGACAATCTTGGTTGTGATGGATTTATCTGAGAATTATTCTAGCCAAAGCTGGGAATGATAAATAAGGACAGAGAAGTTCCTGATTATTATTGTCAAAAAAACTGATCCTGACAAATGTACCGATATGCAACTATATGAACAGTAAGCCTGCTGACTGTTAATGGGACTAAATCCACTGAGGGCTATATAGAATTATGTATGAATTTCCTGTGAAATGTGTCTTCTACCAAACTTTAGTGTCATCTGATTTATGCATAAGTTAAAAAAAGACAGACATTTCTATCTTTTTTTAAGTGGCTGACAAACAGCACAGTTTAGGGATTTGTGCAAGCATGAGTTAGTTGCAAAGCAGGATACATCTGGATTGGAATCCTCTATGCAAGTTCTTCAGTCAACACCCTAGCTTTTCATTTCCAGTCTCCTTTCAGCAGTTTTTATGCAGAACAATATATCTGAATAATATTGTCAACAACTTGTAAAATGTAAAGATGCTACACATGTAGTGAGATAAAATAAAAAGAACCTTTTAATAGTACTATTTAATCAAACCTATACCTTTCCTGAGATAAAAGGTTGCTTTTCATGCATTAAGACATTACAACTCAAATGTAATTACCTGGTAATATCCTGGAAGTTCAATGGTTACTTTCCCAGATCTTACACCAAGATAGTTTTTTTTCTTTCTCTGAGAGTCAGAGATTATTTTTCTGTAACATTAAGGAAGCTGAAACTACCTTTCAGGAACTTTCCTGGACTTCACCAGATGTTAGATTTCCTCAAAAAAGTACTCTCTGATTTTTGTGAATGCAACCAGCATGTTCCATGAATGCTTTTGAACGCTTTTGGTTAGTTGTATGAAAGTATCTTGTGATGAAAGTACCCAGAACATATTTGAAAAGGTAATTCCAGGTTCTAGCAAAGTTAACAGAAAGTTTCAGAAGAAGCTCCTAAATAAACCCTGGTAAGTCCCTAAGTGTAAATAATGAGTTTAGGGAAAAGTCTCAGTCCCTTTAAAAGTCAGGTAACTTAGAAAGTACCGAGCAAGTACCTGGCAAGTTCTGCGCTAACTTTCTAGTCAAGTATTTTGTAATCTTCTTGAAGGTTTTGAGGAACTTCATATACTTCAGGAAGGTTCCAGAAAGAACCAGGTATGCGTGTTGGAAAGGTCTCAAACAAAAACCCCTTGGTTCTGGTAGAGAAAGGCCTGTAATATGTAGCGATAATAAACTTTTATTTTTTTTTACAGAAAAGAAAAAAAAACGTGTTTTAATTCTTTTTTAACATGTAGCTAAACATGACAGAACCTGAGCCCAACATATGCTTACAATCAACTCAGTTACTTTATCTGAAAAAGACGCAAAAAACGTTTGTTAATATTAACCTAAAGATAATCTCTCAATCCCACGTCTTTTGAAAGGTAGTGAAGCAAACATGGGATTTCTATCACATTACAGTTCTGTACTTTTCTTTCTCTCCTAATCTGTTTACTATATAAAATGTAAACACTTGTGCAATTTCTTTTAAAACAAAGTCCTTGCACATTTTTTGACTCAAAATTATTATTATTTACCTTCTTTTTGGCCATTTAAAATGCTGTTTCCTGTGATATTGGTCTTCTGTGTACAGTATGGCTGTTGTGGTGGAGCAATAAACCTTCATGACTTGAAAGTTGTGAAATCAGCAACAAGCATTAAGATCTATTTAGAAGGGTTCAGCAAACATACATGTCTTTAGCAAATATAAACCTCTGTAATCTCTTTCCAAAAGTGGCGTAGATGAAATTTATTATTTTTACATTTGTCAGAAAAAAACTTAAAACACTTTCTAACCACAGTGAATCCTTTTTGTGAACTTAGCATGAAAATGTCTTTTTCAGATGGGTTTCCCTGGATTTCATGTGTTTAACTAAAACCAAACGAAATAATCCATAACATTTCTTATCCGTGGAATTCTGTAAAATACCGTATGGCTGTCATCTTGAACAGCTTTAACGTTCTTCATTTGTTTATGTAGCGTACAGTAGCAACTATCTATTTTACTGTTTATTCAACCTGTTATACTTAAAATAATAGAGAAAATGTTTTTAAATATGGTTTCAAAGACAACTGTACATCTTAACCTTGATGGTGTTTCACTTTTGACAAATAAATATTTATAAGTCTATAAATGAAATCTTTGTGTGGTTATTGATGAGGTTGTATCTCTCATATGGCTCTAATTTTAACTTAACTATGTTTCAAATAGAATCTGCATCACAATAGCATGGGCGCTCTAGACAGGCTAACAGATTCCATCACTCCTGTAGAACTAGTTCTGGCCCCTGTCATGACCCCTGTACTGAAAACAAACACAACATAAACGTTTTATTTATTTATTTTTATACATTTATTTTCCCTTGATGCAAGCGGGAAACACAATAACCAGATGGAATAAGATGATTTACAAATGTAAATAGTCTATTCAGTCTTTACAATTACTTTAACATTAATTTAGAAATGAGAGCCATATTTAGATAGGATCACAGTTTCCAAATGTTAGATCAGTTTGGCTTTGTGGTGGCAAAAATATATTGCATTGTTTAATATATTAAACAATGCAATCTTGCCTTGTATTATTGTGTTATGCTTTTGTTCTATGCCCCCATAAAAAAAAACAACAACAACAAAGAAACTCTGGCCCCTTTGATCTAGAACCACCACCTTAGAATAAACAGTACACATTTAAACTAATCCAAATAAGATAGACATAATCTGTTCACTATTGTGCTGCATCAACACAAAAAATGAGCACTAGAGCCAATGTGCAGCACACCATCATGGACCCATTTCCTACACACAGTGACCACAGACACCTATCAAACTTTTTCAAAACATAACGACAGCGTTGTGTTTCAGTTAAGATATCTGTTTAGATAATTATTGCCTTAACGCTGCCAGTGTTGCGAAAACAGCGTTTATATTAGCACTTTTTATCAGGTTTTATCTTCCGATTTTTTGTCTTCTAAGCCAAACATAGGACCAATCCTGCCATATTTAAATAATAAATACATAAATAAATAAATGCTCAATAAATAAAAAAGCATACAATTAATTGCCCCCAAAAATACAATAAAAAAATAAATGTAGGTAGAAATTAAATTATACAGGGAGACATAAATGTATAAATCTCTTTTAATTAGCTTCTTCATTTATTCTCCTTTGTAATAACTACCATATTTGTTTATTGTCCGTTATAATCTTCATTTTTATTTATTTATTACTTATTTTTTAAAGTATTTATTTATGTGCATGTTATAATATTTTTGTCTGTTTTATTCTTCCTTTGTATATTATTTTACCCTATTTATTTCTTCAACGCTATTTATTCCTGCCTGTTTTTTTTTTTTACATTTCTGTCTGCATTTCTTCCTCATTATGCAAATGAGGAAGGGCTGTGTCTTTAGTGAACATTTATTTATTTCTGTATTTATTTTTAAATATGGCAGAGTTGGCCCTCCATAAATGAATTCATCCCTCCGTAAATGAGGGATGAATCCATAAATGAATTCATCCCTCCACGTGGCCGGTCTCCATGGTTACTCTGTGTTTGTGCGTGTGTCTCGCCGCGCGCCCCTTCAGTCTTTAATTGTATCCTGTGTGATGGAGGCTGGGCTCCAACAGCATGAGAGCAGAAGTGAGCATCAAGTGGATCTGGAGCTGATAGATGCGCTCATGACTGGACTTCACCGCAGCAAACAGGATGGTTCAACGCAATGAAAATGCATTTAAGTCGTGGCAGTTTTAACATTTTTCCCTGGATAGTTTTTACCTGTTCGCTCTTTCTATTGGATGGTAAGTGACTTTAATTCCCGCTCTCTGAATCATAACTAGTTTGCATTGCATATATATATATATATATATATATATATATATATATATATATATATATATATATATATATATATATATATATATATATATATATATATATATATATATATATATATATATATATATAAATAGTTATATAACAAATAGGATAAATTGTTGTTGTTATCCACTGCTAAAGTATTTGGATCTGCGTTTGCTCTAATTATACAGATGCATTTTATATTTATAAAGTTTCATACCGGGATTAAAGAGAAGTTCTCCTAGCAGATAATACAACTAAACTTGGATTTCCTGACTTTGAAGAAAAAAACCCTGTCAAATATACACCTGATATAAAGGGAAGACAGTACAAAAATATGAGAAAATAAAACATGATTCAAGTTCAAAAATATCAAACTTCACATCTTTAAAATTATAATCACAATCTAAAGTTTTATTTCCACCAACTTTTAAGAAATGAATAGCTTTATATATTCTACAGTACTGGGATATTGTTAACCACTCTACCAACAGGCTGTTACTTTGTTCAGATTATTTGGTTTTATCCCTTCTAACTATGGAGCATAAACCTAACCAATTAAAATCCCTTTTAAAGTCATAACTTCTAAATAACAATGTAAGAAATGTAATTCAGTTTCCTGTCTTAGGCTGATTTCATGCATTTGGTTTGGTTCATGGTTGTAAATTCAATAACATTTTTGCAGGGTGAGATCATTAGCTTGAATAATCTCTGTCCATTTTCTACAGCTGAGCAGCTAAAGATGATATAACAGTCGGGGGGCAGCAGACTCAGGGGACAAGAAGAGATTTAACAAAAGAAATGTTTTCTTTTATAGTTCCATTTCCCTCCTAAAAATCTCATAATAACCCATCTTCTTATCTGTGCTGAAACAGGCAGGCAAACGGCAGCAAAGTGTATCAGAACAGAGGCGATCAGGTCTCCCACATGGGCTATTTGAGGACCTCTAGATAGGGCCAAACAAAAGAGCCCAGGAATGATTTACATATGAAGGAGCTCTTACACACTGTGGGAGGGGCTGTATTTTACTGAGCCCTGTCTCAGAGGAATACTGATGATCACTACTGTCAGCTGAAGAATAAGTTAAACATCATGCATGACGGGTGTATACAAGGGCTTACTGTGCTTATGCACTAAATGTAAATTTTATCTGATCTGAATGCAGCAGCTGATCTCCGATGTAATGAAGGCTATTACAGGCTTACAGTCACTGCATCGCTGTGTATGCTTTTAATCCCCTTCATATCTTGAATTACACTCTTTAGACGTGTATCACAGCTACTAGAGGAGCAGGCTGGATGTTTTTCAAACTGATTGACCTCCATTAAAGTCAGATGATTGGTGTCTGAGATGGAGAAGATGTTCTACAGTCTGTCTGTTCTACATCTTAAAGGTCTCTCAGACTGATTGCTCTCTTGAAGGATAATTAGTTTCTATAGTTATTGGAACATCTCAACAATTCATGCCCTTATAGGCTTCTTCTTGCACTAGTCGTGCAAAGCACACTTTTCTGTGTTTCTTTTCTCCATTAAATATTCATGTATTTCTTTGAGGGTGCTTAGAGAAGTGCTAGACTCTGATTGCCATCTAACAAAAAGCTACACTTCACCAGACCTGAAGATTCCCATTATGTCTCTGTGTCCCTTTATAGTCCATAAATTACAGGCATTGGAGTAAAAGCTGCAGCCTTAGTGTTTAATTTAGTCAATCAAATGACATCCCTCTGCTTATAGAGTATTAAACACAAACACGTTTTTTTTTTTTATTTATTTAAACACAATTTAAGAATAAAATATATAAAATCTAAAATATATATATATTTTTTTATAAATAAATTATTGCTTGAATGAAAGGTATGTTTAATACCTCCTTAAAGTTTATTTCAAAAGGTGCTTTTCATCTTAAAAACAAGGATCTTCTTAGCAGATATTCAATTTTTCTACTTTTTTCATTATTTTATGCAAGGGTTCAAGATTGTTCTATTGATAATTTCAGGAGTTAGACCGATTCATTGTCATGTTTTCACATTCATGTTCATGGGTTCTCCCATTTATTGGTGTATTTAGCAATCATGCTTTGAAAGCACCTGAAGTGCAGGCATTGCTGATCTCACTATTTGTTATCCGTTGGAAATGTTTTCTTTGATCAATAAAAGTTTCTTTTTGTTTAAATTAAAGCTTTTGTCAAATTGATTATCGTGTGATTTTGTATCACATAAAAGGGGGGTGTAATACTAAAATTGGCTTAAAAAAATGTACCCAAAAAAATCAGCAGCAGCCATAAAAACCTGTCGATGGAGCTCTGGTTTAAATTGATCTCATTTCTTTTTCACTTATCTTCTGGCCAGTTTTTGCATTTGAGAGTTTGTTGTATAGGTTTAGCCTAAAACTGTCTAACTTTGATGGCCTCCATAAGAAAGAGTAGCTGCAAGTTTGGCTCTGTCTCTACCAGAGCTGCACATCCAGTATTTTTTCTTTGCAGTATAGCTCAGATTCAGTCAGATTAAATAGAGTATCAGAGAACAGCATTATGATAGTCTTTCCATAGGTTGGATATTGGGCTGGACTTTCCCCGGGTCATTTTAACACTGGAAATACTTTGATCCAGAGGCACGTTTTGCTATTTTAGACATCAAATAGGTACAAAATGATTGCGATTATTTTACAGAAGAAACCATAAAGGTAGAAAAACTATTTTGTAGATCTAAAGCAGTTTCTACTAATATAAAAACACGTTTTCCTTTCACAGTTCAACACTTTAACCGATATTTAAACTTTGAAATCAGGAAAGGATTGTTTAAAAAACCTTTCTGAAACTCTAAATAAGCAAAATCAGGTTATTCAAATAGAAACAGTCTGACAGGGAAAAACAGAAAATTTAAAGAAGATCATTTAAGATGTCAGGATCATTAGATGATTCATAATTTGATGATTTAGGACACCATCTATCACATGCGATAAAAGGACGTTTCAAGTAAATCCAAAAAGTCTTTAGATTTGTAGGGGGCTCAATTTAGGTTGTTCTTGCGATGTTTATGTTCACACTCATTAAAAAAGTGTGTATTTTGCTATTTAAAGAACATTAGGAAAAGTGATTTTTTCCTCAAAGAACTAAGTTTTCTATGTCTCTAGGAACGTCCCCTGAAAAGCTGCCTCAAACTGTGGACCCCTGCTCCCCAAACCCGTGCCAAAATCAGGCACTATGCAAAAACCGTGGGGCCGGCTACTCCTGCTTCTGCGTGCCAGGTTTCCAGGGCGCTCACTGCCAGATAGACGTGAACGAATGTGCTTCACAGCCCTGCAGAAACGGAGCCACCTGTGTTGACAGAGTGGGTCGATTCTTCTGTTTGTGCCGTCATGGATTCACAGGTGAGTCGGTGACATTATAAATCTGGTTTTAAACTAAATGTGCAGAGGTTTAACCAGTTAAACGTGAATTCCAATAGAAACTAAATTTTTTTATTTTTTTATTTCTTATCCTCCCATGTTTCATAAATAGGTTACATTTTTTTTATAATATTTTATACTTACTTAAAAACATGACATAATCTAAAAGGATTCATATTTAAATCTTTTGTTGTTTACCTTGACTACCCCACGAGAATAATACGGTGGCCGAGGGGTGCAAACACTGTGTGAACGCATGATTTGATGAAACCTGCCTTTTATATCTGCTTCTTTTTCTATTCCTGCTTCTGTCTCCTGGAAACCAGCTCGGCCTCGGCAGATGGCCACACACACCAAGTCTGGTTCTGCTGGAGGTTTTTTTCCTGTTAAAAGGGAGTGATTCCTCTCCACTGTCGCTACAAGCATGCTTAGTGTGAGGGATTGCCTTCGAATTAATGAGTCGATGCAATCAATTGGTTTTTCCTTGGATAGAAAACTTTGAATCCATTTGGCTGTATGATCTTGTTGAATTGTCTCTGTAAAGTACCTTGAGATAACATGTGTTGTGAATTGGCGCTACATAAATAAACTGAACTGAATTGCTTTCATGGCAAATTCAGAAGGCCCTGCAAACACAAAAAAGTAGATATACCGCAAAAATACACATGCAAAGATAAGATTAAATGGTACCAAGGAGAAAAGCTGCAACCATAGAAAATAGAAAGCAGCTAATTGAAAACCTGTAGCAAACACACGATGATAATACACAAACACATGAAGCACCTGCAAAGCAAGAATGCTGCAAGTAGGAAACATGTCTGCAAGTGAGGAATGATCAGCAAACTAGTTCCACAAAATGTGCTCCAGATCACCAGGAAGAGACAATCCTTTAGTAAAGACATTAAAGCAACATTCAGAGAGATTAAATGAATAAAAAAGATTGAAAGGTAAACTTAAGCTGTGTCCGAATGTCCGTCCTAATCACTTTATAGGGCACTATATACTCGTAGTGGTTACGCCATTTTAGATGAGTGTCCGAATATCTAGTGGACGAATAATGACGGATTTCGACAACCTATTGCAACAGCAAATCCCATAATGCTGTGCGAGGAGAGCACTAATTGCAAAGCATTATGGGAGATATCTGTTTGCCTAATGACCATGGATGATCACTACTTTTCAAGGTGCATTGTGAGAAATTTTGAGTCCACTACTTTTTCATCCACTAGATGTTTGGAAACTCATCTAAAAATGGTGTAACCACTATATATTGCCCAATACAGTGATTAGGGTAGACATTTGAGCCCCGTCCACACGAAGTCAAAACGAACATGAAACGCTAATATTTTCCAGAACGTTTGTCGTAAAGACAGAGACGTAAAATAATGTGATCGTCCACACGAATGCATGAAAACGCTGCAAAATGTATGCCAGGCCTGTAAGTGGCGCTGTCGTGCCAAAGCAAAAATAGGCGACGAAATGTTGTGCATGTGCACTAATATTTATACATGGTTGCCCTGCAGGTCCATTTTCGTGGTTCAGTCAAATTCAGGTGCTGAACTATGTCGTCGATATTGCTCTGTTCTTCCTGGAGATATTCCAGAAGAAGAAGATTCTGTTGTAAGCCCGACAGCAGAGCGAGTAGCATGAGCAGCAACCATTCAACACGGTACGGCGCCATTGTTGTTGTGATACTGTGTCGCGCATGCGTGTTTAGAGGTGACGCTATGACGCATACGTGTAAAAAAAATTGCGGTTAGAGCTTAAAGATGGAAACGCGAAAACGGCGTTTCAAAATCTTCCCACTCTGAAGGCTGAATAAAAAAAAGATCGTTTACAGACCCCCGAAACGCCGGCTTCGTATGGATGAGAGGCTGGTTTGGTGAAAAATGTGTGCGTTTAGGCCAGGGTTCGGCTTCGTGTGGACGGGGCCTTGGACACAGCCTTACAGCTTCTTTCTTGCCTTCACCTGTCCTCTAAACTGCATTCCATTGATGTCTTTGCTACGGAGCTGGTCCATTGATATTCAGAGTAAAGTTTATGTTCTGGTCCCATATAAGTTGATTATTGCACTGCCCCCTAGTGGTCTGGAGCAATTCTGTTATGCAGTAAATAAGATGGGTATGACTGGCATTTTTATGGTACATAATCTACCTAATCCTCAGATTCCACCTGCAAGCACTTTTAAAACTGAAACAGACTTAAACATCTTGTGTTGGGCGATAAGGAAAAGCCTTCATTTGTAGGCAGTTTGTAGGGTATCCTGCAAGTAATGTTGGGGAAAGTTGTGGAAGGAGGTTTTTCTGTCAGAGGACAGCAGATATTAAACTTTTTAACCTACATGTAAAATTCAAATGTGTGATTCCTTTTATGCTGGTAGCAGTCACTCCTTCACCATCTTCAGTCAGTCCAAAATTTAGCTGCTCAGCTACTAAAAGGGACAAAACAGTGGGAACAAATCAGAGCAATTTTTCAATCTCTTCTCTTGCTGCCATTTTGTGCTTGTTTTAAAGTTTTACTAAAGTTTATTTCTTCCTCCGTTCCTACATAGTTGTTTAATATTCATATGTTATAAAGACCGAGTCAATGTCCAGATCTAAATAATGGTTTTAGGTTTCTGCAAAGAAGAAAGGAATTCAATAATCAACTGATAGATGTGTAAAGCCTGCAGGTACATATATGAAAGACTTGCAGCTGTAAACTGTAGAAAACGGTGATTCTACAAAAAGGAAATAAATGAGTGTTTTCAAAATTCTGTTGTTTTTTTTTAAATTGTTCTTCCACTTTATAGTATCTTAGTTATATTTTCTCTATCACAAAAACCTACAATATTTAACATGCATTAAAGTTATGTTGTAACATAAAAACACATACAAGTAGTGCAGCTTGCAGTTAACTTTCAGCACAAAGATAATGCTTCAGATCCTTTTATTTTTTGATCGAGCTATATCTGAGAGTACCTTCTATAACCAAGAGTACTCAGAAAAAGCTCAGATGCTGTATACAATACATTGTTTGTTTTTAAATTTAGACCAGCTGCAGACAGGGACACTTTGCTGAGACATAAAAAAGGAACCCCTGATCACAGTCAGCCAACCTGAAAGCTTTGCACCTTTTTCACCCTCAGCCTGTGCAGCTGGGCTCACCTGGCACATGACATCAGTGTGGCTTTGATGCTGTTCACAGGGACCACTTGTGAGATCCAGCTCCATCACTGTCAGTCTCAGCCTTGTCTTCACGGCGGGATTTGTGTTGAAGATGATGTAGGCTCTATTTGTTTGTGCTATGTTGGTTTCCAAGGAGAACAATGTGAAATCAACACAGATGAATGCCAGGAGCACCCATGCCAAAATGGGGGTCTGTGTATTGATGGGGTGAATGAGTAAGTCTTTAGAAATAAAGTGCATGTTAATACTTAATCAACTGGAGGAAACATACTGATATGATACCAACATGTGTGACTGTCTCAGATACAGCTGTGACTGCTCACACACAGCATTCACTGGAGCTCTCTGTGAGACGCCGCTGTCACCATGCTACTCTGATCCCTGCTTCAACAACGCCATCTGTAAGGACAACCAGGGTAACTACACCTGTGAATGCTGGCCAGGTGAGTAAAGCAGATTTTTGTTTCTTCTTTTCTTGTTCCCATCTTAACCACAGTTAACCCATTTCAGGGTTTGAGGGGCGTAACTGTGAGATAGACGCCAACGAGTGCAGCGGCAGTCCGTGCCTGAATGGTGGTAGCTGCATCAGGGGGTCATGGCAGGCTCTGTATGGCAGCGAGCCTCTGCTGCCTAAAGACTATGAACACAGCTTCCCTGCAGGCTACATCTGCATCTGTCCTCCAGGAATAGCTGGTAGGTTTTTTTTTATCTTTAGCATGGGAAAAGAAAAGAAAGCAATTGTCGAAATAAAGACATAAACATTACCATGGTTTACCCAATAGAATACTATAAATGGAGCATTACCATGTGGAGATTTGGTGGTGGCAGTGTTATGCTGTGGGGAATATAGGTTTCAGTAGAGATGGAGAAGCTGGTCTGAATAGTTGGAGATGGTTATAAAGGGCAATCAGTGAGCAATTCCATCTAATCTGTCTGAATTTGAGATAAGTTATGTGGCAGGGGGGTCAAGCCTTCCTCTCTACAGGTGTGTGAATTTAGTAAAGACACAAGATGAGTCAGGCTGTACTTGCAGTTCAAAATATTTTAACAAAGGGCTTTATTTTGTTATTATTCTCTAATTATTGTTGGACTAATATCCGGTTTGTAGCTGTAAAGCAACTAGTGAAAAATGCTTGATTATTTTTTCATTTAGCCTTAGCTAAATTGCGATTTAAATCTCTTTTGCAAAACAGGCCAAGGAAAAAACAAATTCAAAACATTAAAACTCTCCCCTTAAACATTTACATACATACATACATACCTTTTTGAAGTGATTTAACATGAATTTTAAATCCTTTGAGCATCACAAGGGCTTGAATGTAAAGTTCAGACTAGAATCTATTCCAGGTAGTTGGTGCTGAAAATTTTTTTCTTACTTTGAGGACGACAAATTGTAGGACATCTATGGATTGGAGATTAAAACTTCCTTGCTTCTCTGTTTAAAGACTCGTCCTATATGATGGAGGAGCACCAATATTCCAGGCAGGGGAATTCAATCCACTAAAAAGTATCTTGCTGCTTTAAAGCTACATATGTTGGAGACCTTGTTGGTAAAGATGCTGAAGAAATACTTTGAATTGTAACTTTTAATCCTGTTAATTTACACTCCCATGCAGCAAAAGAGAAACATTCAGCTGTAAAAATATAGCATCATCTCTGCTTGTGGTCCAACTGTGAGCTGTTTGCCTGCTAATAATTGTGTTCTAAAAACTGACGCTCTGCCAGCCGTGGCGGCTCTGACTCAGTAAGGTGGCCAAATAGCATTAGCCTAATCCCCCGGGGATCTGGCTTTGCTGGTCTCCTGACTGAACCTATTCAGCTCGACATGCTTCAGAGTGCACAGCGACACATGTAGCTACAGCTCCACTGGGACATAAATGCAAACTAGTATGATGTCAAACAAGTTTGGGTCGGTTCTGTGGGGAAACCTGTCGGCATGATGTTGGCGCCAGCAATATGGATTTTGTGGATTTTGTTGCTTGGGACAGGTAAACAAGACAATTTGTTTATGTGAATAGACTGTAATGCTGTTGCATAACAGCCAATCAGCTGTGGTTTTCTTTAAGCATTAATCACTAATTCATTCAAGTAATTTATTCCATAATAGTTTTTTGAGATTTAAAAGAAAATTCATTTTTTGGGGATTTAAAGAGTAGAGAGAGTATTGCAGATTTTGCAGGACTTTCATGATCCAAACATTTTAAAGGATAATTTGAGCAGATGAAAAGGTTCATCATTTATCACAGACCCAAAATACAAAAAGATTTCTCAGAAGATTATTAAACTGCAGGAACATCAGTGAATTCTTTCTCAAAGTGACTTTTCTGAGTCTTTTCTGTCTCTGTTGACAGGATCCCACTGCCAAGAGGTGATAAACCACTGTGAGTCCACTCCCTGTCAGAATGGGGGCAGATGTGAGAGCCTTGTCGGGGGCTTCCTCTGCCACTGCCTCAATCAGAGTCCAGACGGCGTTCTGTACGGAGGTGTGAACTGCGATGTGAAGCTAGTTGGCTGTGAAGGCCATGAATGCCAGAACCAGGGCTTCTGCTCTCCTTTCCTGCAGGATGGGACTCATGGTTACACCTGTTCCTGCACACCTGGATACACCGGACCACTCTGCAACACTCCAACCACCTTTTCCTTTGAGCGCAGAGGTTACCTGCTGCTCCACAACCCCCTGCTGAACGCTGATCTTACCTGCAACATCACGCTCAGCTTCAAAACTGTTCTACCCTCAGCGTTGTTGTTCCAGAGGAGCATCAGGGGGCTGCTGCTGCGGCTGGAGCTGGAGGGGGGTCATCTGGGTCTGACGCTGAGGAGGGAGGAATCTGCTGGGACCGGAGCAGAGAGTCACCAGGCTCTGGAGCTTCAGCGAGACGTCACAGATGGAGAGTGGCACACTGTAGAGGCTGTGCTCACAAACGAGGACCTAAGCCTCAGATTAGTGGGTGATGCTGGAAACTGTGGGGACCAGCCATGCTATAAGGTGGCTCCAGTGCCAAGCAGTCTAATAGGACTGGACACCTCCCCTCAGAACACTTTTATTGGAGGGGCACTCAATGATCCAAGTGGCTCCAGCAGTTTCCCTGCTTTCATTGGCTGCATGCGTGACGTGTTTGTAGACTGGCAGCTTGTTGTTCCAGAGGAATGGCTGAGCGACTCTGCCGTTAATGTGTCCCCCGGCTGCAGCCACAGGGACCGCTGCTTGGACAAGCCGTGCCAAAACAGAGGCCAGTGTGTAAACCTGTGGCAGAGCTACCATTGCCAGTGTGCAAGGCCCTACGAGGGGCACGACTGTGAGGAGGGTAAGTTTACCTCTAGAAGAGCTTAAGTGATATTTTTATACTTTAATATACCTTTTTTTTACCATTGGGTTCAGATACTTGGTAAAGCATTGTGCCTGGAATGAATAATTCGGACAGGAGGAGGAGAAGTTACAGCACATGTGGCAAATATAACAAATAGGTAATTAAGTAACATCCTTAGCTGCTTTTGTGTAACAGAAGTTGTCAGAGAAGAGTCCAATCAAAAGCCAGAACAAAGAGGCAGAGATCCTCTTAGCCGACGTATCGGATTAAGGATACAAAGGATTCTGTTTAGGAATTAATCAGATCCTGCAAGGAAATGTCAGAAAAGAAAGAGAGAAAATTAAAGAGACTTTAAAGTTATTTCTCAACAATCAAAAGCCAATCTTTTTTCCACTGCATGAGTCTAAATCCTTTGTCAATGTGAAAACATTTTCACATTTACAAATTTGAAGCATCCACAGGATCACTCTGAAGCTTACATAACGTATTACATGCTCCACCTCACTTCTTAAGCCTGTTTTTTTCCTCAGCTGTTTTACTGTCTGATAAGATGACTGACCCACAGCGGAAAGTGCTGACAGCTGACACCAAATACTCTTTATGAGGGCTTGTGTCACCTTAAACTTCCCTCTATTTACTCCCTAAATGTCTGTCTCTGCAGAAACGCTAATCTTGCATAAATCTCTTTCAAAGAAATCCAGCTTAGTGATTAGTAAAAGTATTTATACTCTTTACACCTTTCTGATTGTTCTCATTTTCCAAAAACAAACTTCCTTGTAATTTATTTGGACTGATAACACAAATTGGAAGAAGGATATGTGGTGTGACATGTTTAGTCCCTGATAAAATCCAAGACATTCAACCACATGGAGAAAGTGTTAAACAGAGGATGCCACAACTTTCAAACCTGCCAGGATGTCCAGCTAAACTGAGCGGGCGGCCATGGAGAGCATTTAGCTCTCATGTTAACTCTGCAGAGTTAAGATTCATGCAGGAGCGTTTGTCTCTATGGCGACTAAACAAAGAGCCAAGGCTACGAGGTAACGCCTTAGATCAAAGAAAAGATGTCCTAAATGTCCTAAATAAGTGTTAGAAATAGCTTTTTGACATCACCATCAATGCAAAAATGTCCCTTCTCTACATGTGAAAAGATGTTAGACGCATAATCAAAAGACTTGCTGTTCACTGAATAAAAAAGTACTACACACACTTTTTAAGTACATTTTGAAAACTGTTCACTCAAAAGTTGTTGTAGCATAGTCAAATAAAAAAAAGGGTTATTTATTTCTACATATTGATATAATATACACATAGAATAATATCTTTATTTATTAGTAACCTAAATACATTTAAAATTTATGGGCAGACATATAAAGTTTATTTTGTATATTGGGATATTGTTGTTCTTTTATATAAAAACAATCTTAAGATAAAATCATACTGATGATGTCAGCCAGACCAAAATATTGACTTCCTCTTGTTTTGCAGAGCATGTTACTGCTCGCTTTGGGCATGAGGACTTTCACAGCTATGCGGCCTTCACCATCACCGAAGATCTGGGTCAGAACCTCTCCGTCTCCCTGTTCCTGCGCACGCGGAGACAGAACGGACTCCTTCTGGTGCTTACCAACAGCAGCAGCCCGTACCTCCACATGTGGCTTGATGCCGGCAGGGTCACAGTTCGTATCCATAACTCTGAGAGCCTAAAGGCACGAAGAGCGATCCACGATGGAGAGGTCCACTTTTTAAATGTAGAGGTTCTGGATGGCCACATGTCGCTGCATGTGGCGGGTGAAAATCAAGGGGAAATAGAAGTAAGAACCGTTGATGTCCAAGCAGGCGACAGAGCTTTTGTCGGAGGTCTGCTGGAGAAGAGAAGCACCTCAGAGTTTGGTGGGTTTTTCAAAGGATGCATCCAGGATTTGAGGATCAGTGACAGGAGGCTGCAGTTTTTTGGGCTGGATGCTGCGGTGGGATCATATCCCCTCGATCTTATGGAAAACGTGATTGCTGGGTGCTCTGGAGACAACACCTGTACAGTAAGAAAACACAGATTTAAAAGAACTGATGTTGCACATTAATACACTTAATATCTTGGAGCTAAACATAGGAAAATATGCTTATAGTTCCAAAAATATTCTATTAAAAACAATACGTGGAAATACATTAAATGCAGTGTTTATAGCAAGAAGATTAAGGGGGGAGAAATTGGCCTGATAGATGTCTGCATAACTTTAACCCTTCTTTCATTCCATTCTACAGGATTTCATTGTCATAATTAAGCTTTATAAATATGAGTTTATAGTAAAGTTCTATCTGTTATCAAAATACAGAGCTTTTGACGTTATCATGGTTTGAAGAAGCACTAAAATATCAGAGGTCAACCGGTGCCAGTTGGAGTAGTACAATAAATAAATAAATACAATCACTAAACTTTACTTTTTAAAGTCAGGATAATTTTCACAGCGTTTATTATGCTTAAATAATTAGAGGAAGCCCAGATGGTGATCATATAGAGCCGTAACCTTTAGTTTAATTAGGATTATTTAATTTTTTTAAACCAAACTTAATTTATCCTACAAATCCTCCAACATGGGATGGTAATGGTTTTTATTTTCTAAACTTGAGGAAGACTTGGATGCATTTTACAGAAACAGTTTTTCATTATTTCCAGGAAAGCTCAAAAGAAATCAGCCCTGATAGTTTACCAGACAGCAGTGAGAGACATAAAGCTGGAGAGTAGCCCCTAATCGGTTATTATAGTCATAACTAACTACCAAATAGGAGAACAAAAGGTTATCTAAACAATTTCTGTTTTCCTTTCTCGGCCATCTGGGAAAAACTAAATCCACTAGTTACCCTAACTAACCCAGAACTAAGAACTTTGTATGGTTGAAGATGTATTTAAAATAGTTTTTTATTAATAGTAAGTAAATGAAATGGATCCAGAACCCTTTAGGAAAAACACACAGGCTGTTATTTGTTTCTCATTTACAGAGAAATCCATGTCTAAACGGGGGCATTTGCTTCTCTGAGTGGGACGACTTCACCTGCACCTGCCCCAGCAGCACAGCAGGGCGGCGCTGTGAGGAGGTAAAGTGGTGCGAGCTGTCACCATGCCCAGCAGCTTCAGAGTGCAAGATGTTGCAGCAGGGTTATGAATGTAAGTTGCTCCTACATAGAGCTGGAACAGCTTATAATGACATTTAATGTGTGTTTGTTTTCCTTCTCTTTTCTAAAACCCAGACTTGAACAGAAAGTATTTATTTGTTGCTTAAAAGCAAATGCTTTTGACCTCCAACAGAAGGAAAATGTGCTGTATGTTATCTAATGATCGGCCTTTTACTAGGATTTACTAGTTCCATTCTTAACTTGCCTCTATGTGACTGAATGTCACAACAGTTTTATTTAGATGCTGGCCTCAATCTCTCCTCACAGCATTCCGCATCCAATCCGTAAAGCAGGGTTGAGCCAAAGCTACTTTATACTTTTCTCAGAGGGATTGGAGACGTTTCTTCCTTTCTTTTTAAATGATAAGCTCAACATCGGTTATTTAAGGGCTTCGGCTCTATTTAAGGACATTTAAATTATTAAAAATTAATAAGCAAGGAAATGAAAATGGCCAGCCAAACAGAGACCTATAATAAGGTGCTAATAATATGTGCTTAAAACTCCTCTGTAAAATTGTAAAACCATACTTTCTCCCACCATGAATACTGCCTGAAAATATTTTCTACACCTAAATAAATCTTTAAAACCGTGTTAAATAAAAGATTTGGTGTTCAGTTTGTGTTTAGGAGGCACCAGTGTGCTCCAGATCTTTAAATGATGGTAAAAAAGGATGTGAAGAGCTCCTAACACCTGTGTTTGTCCATTGTGTTGAAGGGCCGGTTAGAAACTTGTCCCTTCAGACTCTTAGTCTGAAATTCTGCAAAGTTTTATCTTTGAGTGGAAACATTTATACAACTTTTGATGGAGTTAAATAAGTATTCCAAATAAAGAAAAAAATATAAGCAATTCCCTCAACGTTCCGCTTCCCATCCAAGGAGCTTTTTCAATTCAAAATATCAGGAATAACTTTGAGTTCGAGGTTTTATACAGTAGCTCAACTAAGCCTTGTTTTTTGATTCAAAACATGCAAATTGAAATAGACGAAGGGCTCCAGCCCTTTGGTATAGGTTTCATTTGGCTTTTTTTGTTGGCCTGCAATGCCCCAGTCAAATTAGCAGCATATTAGTAACATATATGGAGGAAAAGTTTGTTATTTATCAAAATACTTGTGGTGCCACAGGAGCTGGCAGCCTGTTTCTAGAGCTGACCATGTTGTTGACACTAGGAGCACTATCCTTGTATTGTCGGGGTAATCACAATAATGATGTACATTGATTTGAGTATATTATTTTAACTGCATTATATGCTTTCTTGTTCTGTAGTTTCTGATTTTATACGTTTACCTTTAAATTAATCACGCTTCGGGTGGCCTGGGACTTTGCTGCCTGTAAACCTGAATTTCTTTCTCTTTTACTTTATTTTAGACAATCCATTAAATTTACAAACCTTATTATGTATAATGATATATATAATTAAATAATATTTATTATTTAATGCCTGTGTCTGAATAGGGGTATGAGGAAGTGAACCCTATTGAATGAAACTACTTCTCCTTTAATTTAACTCTTAACTTAAACAATCTTCGACATTCTTATTTACCTATGACTCCATACTTCTCCAAGGTCCATTAAGTGAGCAAAGAAATTACTTTATGTACATATGAAGATACATATACCCATGTACATGCACCTACTGTAAACACATCATCATTCATACAACTGCTTTTGTGCAGCACCTTGGTCCTGTTGGTAAAGTGTCATACATATAGTTGGATTGGATTGGAACTGTTTCTTAAACATTCATAATATAGGCCTCCACTGAAGGGCGATAAATGATTTGCTATTTTATCACAGTCTGAAAATGTCACTCCAACATTTCCCTTTTATTCCTTCAGGTTACTCCAATGCAACTTTCCTCAATGACAGCACAGTGATGGTCTATCAGGGAAATGGCCGTATATCCCGAAACATCACCAGCCTGTCTTTTACCATTCGCACACGGAAGCGTAATGCGGCCATCCTTCATGCAGAGAAAGGTTCCTCCTTCATCACGGTCTCTGTTCAGGATGGGTTGCTCTTCATGGAGCTTCAGAGCTCTATGAACAAAGAAGATAAGGAGGAAAGAGAAAATGGTTTGTCGACAGTAAGCCTCAGCAGCAAGAGCAGTGTCAGTGATGGTGAGTGGCACACCGCCCATCTGTTCATGACGGCACCGTGGGCTCAGTCCTCTCGCTGGACTTTGGTACTGGATGAAGAAATAGAGGAAGCCAGCATCTCTAGAAGCCAGGGCAGGAACCTGAACTTCCTCAGAGAAGGGGTGGACATCTACCTGGGTGGCCTGGCTCCTAACGCTGGCTGGTCTCTAGCTGGTTGCCTGGGCACAGTAGAGTTGGGGGGTATTGCTCTGCCTTACTTCAGATCTCAGGAAGTAAACCTCCCACGGCTGCAGGAGGAGCAGTTTTTTCAGTCGTCAGCAGAACCTGCACTCCCCGGCTGCAGAGGGGCTTCAGTGTGCGAACCCAGCCCTTGTCTGAACAACGGCCAGTGCCATGACCTCTTCAACACCTACAACTGCACCTGTGCTGAGGGCTGGGCTGGGAGGCGCTGCGATGTCCTGATAAACACTTGCGCTTCCAGCCCCTGTGTCCATGGTAACTGTACCGTTAACGGACTCACCTACGAGTGCACCTGCGAGTTTGGTTACACCGGTGTGGACTGTGAGGAGGAGGTGGATGTGTGCGAAAACCACCTGTGTGCCAATGGAGCCACTTGTCTCCATGGCCCAGAAAAATATGCCTGCCTCTGTCCAGAGAACTACACTGGACCCCTCTGCAGGTCAGTTCTGGTGTTTTTCTGCTGACCGGGTGGTGATATAAACAGAGGGAAATTCACTTTTACCTTCACTTCCACTGGCTGAGAAAAACATCACTTCCTGATGTCTTCAGATTAATTAGACCAAAAATGTTCTGTTTTTATTTGCTACAATATCAGAATAACTGGAGAAGGAAATTAAAATGAGGTTTTACAGAAGTTTTCGCAATTTAGAAAATGATATACATTCATTATTGGTAGAATTAACCTTTAGACCATATGACTTAGGTCAAATACTTTTCTTTGCAAAGTTTCTCACAAGTCTTCTGGAAAGTTGGACAGAAGTGGTGTTAGTGTGTCAGTTTAATAGGCCAAAAAACATTTCCTATGGGACCTTGATTAGTTCAGATGTGAGATGTGAGTAAGATGTAAACCTGATCCTACCTCAACATGAAATAGTGACTGGTTATAGGATGCAACCCAGAGCTCAGCTTCCCTGTGGGAATGGATGCAGAAAAATATGTAAAAATGTTATTCAATATTTACAGGTTTTATGTAGAGTATCTGATTAATATTAGTTAAAGGTTGCTTTTTAAATTGCATGGCTTTGTTCAAACATTTTGGTATTTCTCACAAGCTGCTCACACAGTTTGCTGGAACTGTGTCCCATTCCTCCAGACAGAACTGGTGGAACTGCGTTTTATTTTATGCTTTCCTAAACAGATGTTTCAAAATCTGCAAACAGTTTTCTATGAGATAAGGGCTTAATGATAGCTGGTCCGATCATTGTCTTTGTTGTCCATAACCCTTTTTTGTAACTAATTTAGGCACTGTTATGCATTGTCGATGGGAGAGCTGAGTTTAGGTTATGCTTTAGAATAGATAACTTTTACTTTGGACATCCGTCTTGTAAATACAGCAGTCCCTCCTGCATCAACACATCCACAATGCAGCTTTCTTATAGCTTTCTTAGGCGAACAAGACTCAGACCAAAACAGATATCTCCAAAAAACATTAGTGCTTTCTGTTACTGTAAATGTATTTGTAAACTTTAATCCGGCCTTTATGTTGATTTTGGAACAATGGCTTCTTCCTCTCTGAGTGGCATTTCATGCCATCTCGGTGCAAGACTTGTTTTACTGTGAACAATGAGCCATCTTCAACTTCAGTATCTTCAGAGTATTTTTTTGTTGTTCTGAGGTTAATAAAAGCAAAAAAGAACTAAAGTTTCTCAGAATAGAGTATCTTGGCAAATTCCCTTGGTGATGGTACATAGTCATGGGAATTAAAAGTCTATCTTATTTAACAAGTAATTAATTCAAACAGCATCTATTAATGCTTGCAAGGGAGATCAGATATAGTTTTTGCCAATGTTTGGTCTGTTCTGGTCTGACAAAGGATTGCACTAACCATGGAAAACGGCGTCATCTAAACAACTTTATTGAACAAAGTGGGCAGTTTTCCACAAACAGCATGATTGTTGGAATAACCTTGACCTTGAACCTTGGATTCTGGCTCCTTAACAGAACGTCTATCACTGAAAAACAGCTTCTAAGGCATCAGTTAGATAAAGCTCCCATTTAGCCGTGTTTGGTGTTCTGCTTGGTTGTATACATTTGTGCAATAAACAAAACACAACAAGCTCAGGTTTAGGATTTTAACTAGAGGAATAGTGTGTAATTATTATTTTTCCCATTACATGTTGTTTGAAAAGATAAACATGTTATATTGAGGGAGTAGGATTTGTTCTCAAGGATGAAGCAGGCTTTATGATGTCCAAAATTATTTTCTTAATAGTTTTACTGATTTATTTAGATGTTTTTATTACATCATACATACAAAGTGATTTGTTTGTGTAGTTGCCTTCCTCAGTTTATCGGATGAGGCACATTAAGCTAACGAAACATGAAAGGATCATTTCAGCTTTCGTAAATTGATGAAAAGGTGCATTAATAGCATATACAGACATCTGACTATGATTAAATAAAATAAAAAAAACCCTGAAACTCTTACATTTTCACATTAAACACATCCAGTATTTATACATTAATCCTAACTAACCAAAAAAAATCATAGAGATGGAAAAGGCTTTTGGGTCTTTGTATACAGGGAATGCAAATATCTGGCTTCAACACCATTTTCATTTTTGTACAAAGCTTGTGCAAAATGTGAGTTTTCAGACTATAAACAATCTCTAGTTATCATATTTTCAATGCTTCAAAAATGTCTTCAAAAAGCAGAACTAAACCTTACTTAGCAAACACAAAATACACAAATAAATGCTCTAAAATCGCACAGCCAAGGGACCGCAGCACAACACAAAACAAAATCCTTCACTGTAAATGTCTCCACATCTCTGCCTCTGTTCAGCACTTCAACCACAGTTGCAGTGAGCGTCTCAGAAGCTGCATTTCTATTCTAGTGTCAGCCAGAAAAGGCCTCAGTCTCTCTGGTTCGACGCCAGTTTCTCTCCTCTGTCATCTACGGTTTGCCTCTGAGAACCAGCGGGGGAACGCCTCCAAACATTTATCCCGTAAACACACAGCCTCCTGCCTTTTTTTGCCTCTTTTGCAAGGATAAAATCTTTGCAAGTGTCTCAATAAGAAAGCTGCCAGTGAAGCGATCTCCCTTTACATGGAACATCTTCGCTGTATAGTTTTCATCAAAATGACTTTCCTTTGTTTGTCTCACTTGTTTGTGCTTCTTTCTTCCTCCTTTCATTTTTTCTCCTCTTTCTGTTGCTGTGCAGTGAACGGGAGGAAGAACCTCCTTGGTACATCGTTGTCAGAAAAATGTGAGTTTTATTTTTCTTTATTTATTTTCCCAGCGTTCCCAGGTGTTTGTTTCCTGAGAGATATTTGTCTCTCACATGTCATGCACAGCGCATCCTGTTCTTTTGTAGAGTTGTGTGCAACAAAATGCCAAGAAAAGCAAATATTAACACTCCCTCCGACTATGATTGTTGTCAAAATGAACCAACCGCTCTTTCAAATGAGTGACAGCTGTTGTTCAAAACATTCCCAACCATCCAAACAGAAGATTTTGCAAACAAAAATGTACCTTTTCAGAGATAAGCACCTATTTTTATATCCAATGTGGAGTGACTTTCACGATGCCAAGAGAGGGTTGCAGAAAGATTGTTTTTTTGTTGATTCCTGCACTTTGGATGTGACATTATGTTTTTCTATAATCTTATTATAACACATTTATTTTGTTTTTGGGAAAACAGCAAGAGGCTAAACTAAACATCCAGGTTCATGTGGATTTGGGCTCAAATAAAGAAATCCATCAAAGCGCTTAAAAAGTCAGGATTTTTTTAAGTTGTGATGTTTTTCTTTTAAAAGATAAACATCACAATATCTAAAATATTTTATTAGTTTATATTTTTAGACATGACTATCTCTGATGTTTGAAATGTTTTCTGGCTCCTAAACTGGATCAGTGGCTCTCAAATAAGCTGTTATTTAAGCTAAGATGCAAAAAAAGGAACTGAAACAGTAAAAAAAAAAAAAAGTTTTTTTAAAAAATTGTTTTTAAGAATCTATTCTGTTATAAGAAGTCATAGATTTTGAAACTGAGATGATCTCAGCTTCTTTAGACAGTGGAAGGACTTTTTACCACATTCCCAACTCACATCACATTTTAACAAAAAAAAACAAACAGTTTTAGAACAAATTAAAGAGATATATGGACATTAAAAATGTGTTGGAACTTTGTAAATAAAACCCCTTAACATTACCTTCTCTTCGCTGTTAGCAAGCCCAAGCTGCCTGTTTCTGTGTGTGGAGATGAGCACAGAAATTACACCTGCTTTAATGGAGGGAACTGCACTGACCGGGAGCTCTCCTGTGACTGTCCTGCAGGATTCATTGGGCACAGGTAGGATACAGCTGCTCCTTTCATGAATAGATTTATCAGTCGATGTACGTTCCTACATCCACCAATGGGCATGGAACCTGTTTAACGATAGAATGAGATCTTGTGGCAGAAATGAGCTTGGGAGGTTGGCTGGGCTCTCCCTTAGAGAGGGTGAGGAGCTCGGTCATTCCGGAGAGACTTGGACTAGAGCCGCTTCTACTCCAAATAGAGAGGAGTCAGCTGAAGTGGCTCAGACATCTTTTTTGGATACTCCCTGGATGCCTCCTACCGGCAGGAGGCCCAGGGGACGACCCAGGACAGGCTGAAGGGACGACGTCTCTCAGCTGGCTTGGTGCTCCTCATGGTTCCCCCAGAGGAGCTGGAGGAGGTGTCTGGGGAGAAGGAAGACCGAGACTGAGAAAATAGGCTGCAGCTTATAGATGCATCAGAACTGAACTACTGAGGTGTCTGTCTGCTCATCAAACAATGTTTTAGTCGTTACGGGTCAAATAAAAAGGATATTTTAAATTGTAAAAACGTACATGTTTCTTTAGAGAGCAGTTTGAAATGTAATTTTTAAAATGTTCTTAAGGGAATAATTGGCAAAATGAAATGAACTTACAAATTGACAGAACATTAAAGACAAAACAGTACAATTTTTACATGTTAATTCAAACAGAAATTGAATCAGTTAAAAAGAGTAATCCAGCTGAAGCTTGTATGTTTGAAATTGGTGCTGTTAAACCATTGATTTTTTAACAGTGATTAATCGCAAAACCTTCATAGTTATACATACTGCGATTCACTGCAGTTTGAACTGCATGTCTCCTCTTACTTGCATATCAAGGCAGTTCTAAGCTCATAGTGTAGAATATTTAACCATAGTCTTCAATGGGAATCAAATGAACACATAGAATTTCCCCTTTGACCTTTTTATTTAAAAAAAAGGTCAGATCTATGGAGCTGGGAACTGACATGGGAAACCAATATATAACCTTTTACCGCTTCAACACATAACCAAAGGGGCTAATTACTGGTTAATCAAAGGGACAAACAGTTTTATGTCTCAAATGTGATAAAAAAAAACAAAAAAAAAACCTGCAAAATGTGGTATAGATTCTTTTTAATTAATCGCGATTAATGGATGAACGCCGACAGCCATATTTCAAATATTTGGCCAAAGAAAAAAGAATTCAATCAGGAATTAAAACAGCTTGAAATATGTTAAGTTGTTTTCCATGATCAAAGCTTCTCAAATTCTAACTGAACTGATTTATGTCCATTTAATATCTGCCGTCTTGCTCTTGTGATTTAAAAAAAAGTTTTTCTGCTGCAAAGAAAGAACCAGACCAAAAATTACAAGAATCTCTACTAACGTCAAAGTCTGGTCCCCTATGATGGGGCAACACACAGCCTTCCTTCTAGATTAGTAAAGCAATACAAGATCTGGTGTCTGTATGTCAAATTTGCTACATAGACGACGTTGATTTGTCTGTCTTGGCTGCAGGTGCGAGCAGGAAGTGGATGAGTGCGAATCCAACCCATGTCTGAACGGAGGCTACTGTCGAAACTTGATCAACAAGTTCGTCTGCGTGTGCGACATGAGCTTCGCTGGAGACGTGTGCCAGACGGACGTAAGCGACATTTACTTTTATGTGGCTATATTGCTGTGGCAGAACCTCTTCCAGCTGCTGTCCTACCTCATCCTCAGACTGGACGACGGGCCAGAGGTGGACTGGGGAGCAAATGACTAAGTGTGTGTGGAGGGGGATCTAGAGACTAAAATGAGTGACTGTCAGGATACAAATGAAAAAAAAAAAAGTGGACATTCATTTTGAACGACAGTAGGACTGAGAGTGGGGAGAAGAATAATTAGGGACCTCTGTGGTTTTGGTTCTTTGACTATAGAGCGACTCTGTGCCTTTCAGATCATTAGCACTTTATTTTTAGTAGGTATCTATTATAAAATGTATTTTGTGTGTCCATGAGAGAACTGGAACATTTGCCCTGATTCACAAACGCTGCTCCATGTAAGTATCTGAGCCACAAAGCAAATAGCACTAATGATAAACAGGCGCAAACCTCAAATCACTGCTTATTGCAGGTCAGAATGCCTCACTAATGCTTTACAAAACATATGACATGTGCTCACTGTGCCCCGTCCTTTATGCCTGATGAGGACAAGTCACTTTTACTGATTTTATTTAACTCACTATTTGCCTCTGGATGTAAAGCTCTATTAACAGGAAATTTCCAAACAGGAAAAACACATTGCTTTCCCTTAGCAATGTATTTTTAGATGGAAAACACTAATTTGCATCAATTTCAGGCTCCCTTCACAACAAGTCCTAACTGATCCCTTCTGTTCTATCCTTACCAATGACCTTACCTAAAAACATGAGGCAACTCTTTGGAAATTATGTGTTGCAAACAGCTTAGGACTCACAATAATGATAGTTTGTGCTTCAGGTCTAGTTTACATGAATATTAAGGGAAAAACAGAGCATAGAAACTCTTCCAAAACAGTTATTAATGCAGGAGATGTTTTTGCGCAGTATGAGGTGCAAATCTTTCTTTGTAAGAGCTTTGTGAATTAGATGCTTTGGATTGCTTGCAGTGATTTAATGAATCGGGTTTTTCAGTGTACAGTTCAATCTATGCTAGATATTTTTCACTGTTGTTAATTCTTGAAGCTCTTTAAACAAACTGTGTTTAAAAATGCAGCACACCTTTGCACAGCTGTTTTTTTTTTACCTCAGGTATATATATATATACCTATATATATATATATATATATAAAAGAGACACAAGAATCCAGCTGAAAAGCACTAATTTAAATATTCACTGGTGAAAAGAAACAAAAACATGAAGACAAATAAAAAGGGATAGAATTAAGAGTCTGATAAGCTGTCTTATGTGACGTGACAAGGGCTTGTGTTTTCAAGTATACAATTCACAGAAGAAAAAACTAAAAGCAGAACAAAACATGATGCTCTGTTGGTGTCAAACTGCATCTGGAATCAGTTTGGTTGTTTTTACAGAATTTTTTATTATCCACCTTTAGTAGGGTGGGAGCATAGGGAAAAACAGGAGTAAAGTCATTTTTTCAGATTGATACTTAGAAAAGAAGCAGTTGCGATAAAATAGGATGGAACAATATATTTGCTGTTATCTGGACTATTTAATTAGAAATAATTATCTAATGATGGCTTTAAGCATTCTGAAAAGCCATTTTCTGAGTCCAATACTATAAAACACTGAGCTTCTACGTTGCAAAGGGAAAACATGCTCTGCTTTCTGAAAAGCCATTTCTGGTGAGCTGAGAAGAAATATAAAATCCCAGTTATTTATACGTTTCCCACTGTCTGATAACCTGTCAGTCTTTTCTGAACTTTTGGGTTTGGAAGCTGTGTATGGGTGAATTTGTGAACTCGGAAAAAACAGTGCTGTAGCAACAAAAGCTCCTGGAGGGCAACGGATGCCTCACTTGTTCTTGATGTGCGTTCAGAGCAGCTTGTGACTGACTGCTGAGTGTTGTTTTGCACCAAAGAAGAAGTTTCTGCATCTGAACCTTTCTGTGTGAGCCAACGATATTTTAACCCCTAAATTCTCAGCGGCTCTGCTTGTAGAGGTGTCACAGCAGCGCTGTGGTCAGCACTGCAGCAAATCTTTGTTTCTCATGGTAGACTTCATGTATGGTTTTAGGTCATCTGTGTGTGAGTGTAATGTCATGTTTGTCAATCATATTCTGTCTGAGTTTCCTGTCTTTTATCTGTTCTGTGTTGTTTAATAAAACAAAATCAAGAATAATTTGTTCTCTGTCATCTCTCTGCTCATTTTCTTTTTTCCTAATCGCCTCTTGTATCATTTGCTTGTCTACATTTTCAAAACCATCTGCAATAAAGACAGAAATCTGCTCATTGATTTTCCTTCTGTGTGCATGTGTGTGTTTGCTGTTCTCAGGTGGGCGCCATGACATCAAACATAGACAGTTAATCTCTTTTAACGAGATGACGATCCCAGAATAGCCGGGGTTCAGATGCACACTGTCGTCACGCATAGCACACAGTTTATCTCTGATCTATTTGATACGAGGGCTACTGTGCCCTAAAAAGCCTTTAGACGAAGCCTGCTTTGCCTCCAGTGAGCCACAATTATAACTATTGTTTGACAAACTACCTTAGATTGAAAACTTAATAAAATGCAAACTGTATTGTACTTTAAGTCATTTTATGTGAAGCCAACACTAAGCAGTGCTTCATTCTTGAAGGAGATAAAAAATCCCACATGGTTTTACATATTTCCTCTACAAATACAAAAATCTGAAAAGTGTGGCCTGTGCATGTTCAAACATTTTCATTGTTTTTTTTTATGTAGTTTTCCCTTAATATGTTCAATTCTACTTTAGTTTTAATTCATTTGTGATATTTGTTAGCTAATTTATTTTTGTATTTTTCTTTTAGAAATTGTTTAGTTTCAGTCGAGCTCATTTGAGCTCCGGCTCATAATTATGAGCTCCGGCTGATAATTTGAATAATTATAAACTGATTTATTAATCAATAAATCGTTAACTGGAGTATAGAAACTAAAAAATGTCTTTAGCTGATAGAGAAACACACTTAGAGCAGTAACTATATACCAAATTTGTAAAAAAAAATCTAAATATTTAGCATTTATGTTTAAAAAACAATTCTTCGTCTGTCAATATGCTCTATCCAGAACTCCTCCATTGGAAAAGTTTTAGCATCATCTGGTTTAAATTCTGATTATAAATTGCTTTTTGATTATTAATTTGAAAAAAGATTAATCGATTAGCAAAATGATCATAGCTGCAGCCTAAAGCTGCTCTCAGCTGTTTTCCATTCTTTCAGGTTTTTACATTAAAGCTACAGTGTGTAATAATTACAGGGATATACAGTCAGAAATGTAATATATTATACATAAATATGTTATTTATCATCATCTATGAGCTTAGCCTCTTAACCTTAATATTTGCGTTGCCTTAGAATTCGTTATTTATAATTACATAGGAGCGGGTCTCGCAGCCATGGAGGCAGACATCTTTGGGCTACGGCAGCGCAGAGCCAACAAACTAGCGATTGCGAGATCGCCCATTACGCTCGAAAGTAACTACGGCAAGTTGAGAGAGATGAACTGAGACGGTACTGAACAATAGAATACTATCTGTAAAATTATCTATGTAAACAAACCTCATCACTTGAGAAGGTAGGTGATGCGGACGTCGTGGAAGACATTTTGTCCCGTAACGCTCGCCGTACTGTTGGGGGGGAGAAGCGGTGGGGGGGAGATGTTCATGTTGCTGCGGTCTGCAGTCTGGACATTAGATGTCGCTGAAAATTACACGCTGTAGCTTTAAGACTGAAAGAGATATTGTATTGCTGCTGCAGATTCCTACTTCAAGTACAAAGACTGAGTCCCATTAAAACAGAGAGGAAATGTAGCAGCATTAGATCGGTACTGCAGCCAACTGCTCCACATTAAATCACTGGCAGGAGGAAGAAGATATGGGAATATATATTACTTTGATTATAAGGGTCGGATTTAGATTTTTGTTTAAAGTTTCTGCACAGAAAATAAATTACAATATTTGTGGAGAAAATCAGATACTGTCCCTGAAAGTAATTGCTAAGCGATATGTTGGAACACCGTCAAAAATAAAAGGTAGAGCACACCCTATAGGGCAAATAAATTTCCAAAATGTAAAGACAAACTCTTATGTAACTCAGATCTTATTTGACAAAACAAAAAGATGCTCCAATTTGCTCCAAAGTTTTTCTCATATGGATATAAAACAAACTAATAATGACAGTACTTCAAGTTCTTTGATGAAAGGTGGTAGATGTGAATCTAAATAAAGAATAGGACATAACATCCGGATTTATGCATATGTATGTCAAATGTCCATAACTAGATTTATTATGGTTGTTTGATTAGAAAGAGATCTCTTGTATTTAGCTGAATTCACTGATGAGTAGTTAATAAGGGTCCGGTCTCTGGCCCATTGATTTATGCATCCCTATTTAATGAACTTGTCCAGAACTTACATGCATTTCTGGAGACAAAAAGAAAAGAAAACTGATTAAAACAGAGAATTTCTATATGAAAACATTTCTTTTGACATTATATTAGCTGAGATCAATGAAATGATTGGAAGCTAAAAGTTTCAGCACAATTTACACACATTTGTAGGCATATAGTGCACATATAGCAGCACTCATCCCCTTTAAACCTGCATCCTGTCTTCTGCAGCATTTTTAGCATGGGTATGTGAGGGTGATTGTTTGTGCTTTGCAGGCACAGGTAGCCCTGATGGTGAGGAAGCAGAGTGGGGAGGAAATGGGGGAAGAGGTTTTTCACTGTTGGCACTGATGTGGCCATCCTTTGAGAGAAAAGAAGTAGAGGAAGAAATGTGCTTTGCCAGCAAAAAAGAAAAAAAAAGGAAGAAAAAGGGAAAAAGAAGCATCTGGCGCTGAAGTGCAGTTTCAGCAGAGAGCTGGTGGCATTCACAGAAGTTTGGTCTGCTTCACAGGAACGTATGAGGGCAGCTTATCTGGCAGGCACACACACATACACACATAGAGCCGGTTGATAGTGCTGACAGCAGGGAAGCATCACTGCCGTCTCTGCTGTGTGTGGAGCGGCTCTGCAGAGGCTTCAGGGTGGCCTCGCTGTGCACCTCAGAGACTGGTTAGTTAGACATCTCTGTGTCTGCGTGTGTGGCACTCAGTGACTGATGGCAGGTCCTGGCTGCAGGCTGCTCCGGCTCGCTTGTGTCACACTCGCTCTGACAGCCAACTGTGCTGCAGTGACAGGTAAGCACTTTCCAAGAGTCAACAAAGAACTTTGTAGCAGTGGGAAGGAAACTCTGATGTCTACAGCGTCAACCATGAGCGCCAGGGTTATTTTTTGCCTTGGGATACGGATGGTTGTTTTTTAAATTAGTATTACTGTATGTTTCCATGTTGATTGCTTAGTGTAAAGTTTGCTGACTTCTGAGATTATTTTTGTGTAACCTGCCAAGTTCAGCAAGATGCTTTTAGCTGTGAAGATGCTGTCAGCGATGAATTGAAGTGTTGTGGAGACTTACAGCTGTAATGCTGTTGTAACCTTGTAGTGGCGGCTCAGGGAGTCACAGCTGTGACACCAACAACCAGCGCAGGTGTAAGTGTTGCTGTTTTTCATTGCTGGTTAATTAAAGTTGATCTTCAAAGATTTTGATTTATTTAACTCTTTTTTTGTCAAAATTTTTATTTTTTCCTTTGAGGACTCTTCTAATTTTCAAGGTGGTGGTTTGTTGTATGCAAAGATCAAAACTTTTCAAAGCTTTAACGGACATATATCATCATTGTTTACTTTTTAGTTGTTATCATTTTCACATAAAAAATCAGTTAATAAAAAAAGAATAGAGTAAACTTCACACAGTAAAATGAATCAGGATGACACTTTGTAGAGCTGTTATCAGAGCAGGAGCTGAGATACGTAGTGGACTGGAACCCTACCCAGAGCTTTAAAAGCTTCTGTGATCAGCCCCGTCAGCCTGTGCCATTTGTGCTGTTAAGTAAAACATAAATGTTCTGGCATTATTGCTATTTCTGCAACAGCTCTGACTGGCATTTTTAAGAGGCTTGCCAACAGCGTTGTCAGGGGTAACGGTGAAAGGTAATATACACATCATTAACAAAGATGTTACTTTTTTAACTCTACAGTAGGGCTGGACAATTAACTGCATTTGGAATATAATAATTAAAAAACATGTTCGAATTCCAGAGGCACTAATAGTTTTTGTCACATTACATTTAACACGAGGCTGCACGGTGGCTGCAAGAAGGTTCTGGGTTCGATTCCCAGCCCCGGGTCTTTCTGCATGGAGTTTGCATGTTCTCCCTGAGCATGTGTGGGTTCTCTCCAGGTACTCCAGCTTCCTCCCAGAGTCCAAAAATATGACTGTTAGGTTGATTGGCTTCTCTAAATTCGCCTCAGTGTGTGCGTGAATGGTTGTTTGTCCTGTTTATCTCTGTGTTGCCTTTCTAGGGTGTACCCCGCCTCTCGCTCATTGACAGCTAGCACCAGCACCCCTTGCGACCCCAGCAGGGATAAGCGTGAAGGAAAATGGATGGATGGAACTTTAACCATACAGTAGCAGAGTTTCAGTTCATTTTTGAATATAACTTGTATTTATATTTAGTTAGCTATGAGCGATCAATATCTCCAAACAACTATCACAATAATTTATGATATGGAGCCACAAACTTTGAGGTTGTTAAATAGATATTCTTAGGCTGTTAGGATAATTATCATTGATGATGTGTGAGTTTACGCCCTAATATTACTTTCCTATTGCTTGTCAGAACTAATTTTTTCCCCCAGTATTTTATCTAATTAGTACAGTTCCTCTGTCTGGATTCACAGTTATAATCTTCATTATGCACGTGGCAAAGATTTGGGAATGAATGAGAGTGGTGTCCTTCACAAAGTGTAATATTTTGATAAGGCTGGAGCCATGGATGTCTCCTCGTCTGCAAACGTGTGTGATGTAATGATGTGATGATGTGGCAGATTGGATTAGTTTAAAATGATTCTCTGTGAGCCCGGTTGGTACTGTAAGCAGCTGACTTCTGTAACCCTAAGCAGCTTCTCTGATCTGAGTAAGATTACAATTTCTATCAAAATCTGTTGTCAAGCCTAATGGTTTATTACTGTAATAGATATACATAATGAAGTGTTATTTAATGAGTTTCTTCTGAGTGATCTCTTTTAAAAAAAAAGAACAGGAGAGATAAATCTTCAAGGTGTAGACACACAGCTTTCCTTAACAGCTAAAAAGCTGTTTTTTTAAGCAAAATGATTCATAATGATATTAGTGTGATGCAGATTGCTGTCAGTATGCCATCCTGCATGACTGTCATGACTCTGACGGGCTTTTTTGGTTTAGAAAAGTGGCTTTTTAAGTCACATATCCACTTTGAAAACCAATTAAAAGCTAATTGAGATTAATTTCTTTCAGACTTGTTTGAACTTTTCTGGCCCTTCAACATGATGATATATGTCTTTAAAGTATAAATGGGAGCTGATTTTAGGTGAATCTGCTTTAATTCTCACCTTAAAAGGTTTGCATGTGGCTGCTATTTTGGGGACAATGGATTTTGGTGCCAGTTCTGGTAGAATGGGATCATCGGCAGCATCTTGGCTGGATGTGCGTATCTGTGTGTTTGTGATCCCTCACAGACGGTGCGTGCTCCATACAGCTCACGGGTGGCTGCAGTGCTGGCACCGTGTCTGGTCGGCTTGGCGATAGTGGTGACGCTGTGGCTGGCGCTTGCTGCAGCCAAGCTGCGTGAGAGGTGGCAGACGGAGGGAGGTTTCAGCCTGCGGCGGCTCCAGGCTTCTGGTGGTCAGAACCCACCTGCTGAGCTGGGAAACACATCCATCAGCACACTGGCAGCGCGAGTCGAGCGCCTGGTGTAGAGTAAAGGAGACAGGGGAGGAAAAAGTGTGTGAAGAAGGATGGATCTGGGATCAAAGTGTGTATGAGAACCTAAAAAAAGCATTACCGTTTCTAAATAAATCACCTGTTACTCCTCTAATTCTGTCCCTCCAGCTCACCTCTGAGGGTCTGACCTCTGACCTCTTGCTGTCTGTAAGTTTGGCGTCTGTCATCCTGCTGCTGGTGCTGATCCTGACCTCCATCGGCTTAGTGGCCGCACTAAATCGCCGCGCCACCCATGGCACGTACAGCCCCAGCCGGCAGGAGAAAGACGGATCCCGGGTGGAGATGTGGAGCATCACGCAGCCGCCGCTGATGGAGAGACTCATATGAAATGCAGGCGTAAAAGGGGCTGAACACAAATACACATTACTAAGTAATTATTAGTCTGGTCATTTAATTTAGACTTTCTATTAAAAACACAGCTGTATATAATAAAGGCACGCAAATACATAAGTACAAAAATTAACTAAAATCTCGTTTCACTTCATTGTGAATCTGTTCTTTAAATTGGTAGCACTGGATATTATTTAAACATATCAGAAAATATAGGGCTGGATTGAGATTAATGCTCCACTTTTTTGTGTTTTGTTGTCAATTTTAAAACCTTTTGTATATTTTTTACACTCCTCATGTTATGTGCTTTTTGTATACTGTAGGTCTGTGCCACTGAATTGCATTAATGTGATAACATGAGCACATAATCACTGCTTATTTGTGAGTATTGATCTGCTGTACTGATGAACTTAAGTGATTTGTTTTGTTTCAGGTTTTATTTTAATTGTGGCTTCTTTCAGAGCATAATTTATTTCAGTTGTTTGATTTAAAGTGCTACACAAAAAGACTTGATTTTTTTTAACTGTGTTTATGTGCCTATTAATATGCTCTTTTAGAAATGTTTAATTTTCCAACAAATGATTTTATCTGTTGAGTGTCTGTAAAGTGTCATTTCACTGGAAATCTATTTAAACTCATCTTTCGCCTGCAGCACAAAAAAGATCACTGTTGTGTTCATTTTTCTCTCTAAAGAAGTGTTTGCATGCTAGTGTGTTTCTGTGTAGCCCTGGACTGGTGACCTGTCCGGGGTTAACTCCGCCTCTGGAGATACGCACCAGCCCCTGCAGAGATATGGATAAAACTAACCCTGTTATGGGCAGCGATTGGTCTGCAGTTTAAGCATTCCCATCATTTAATCTATTGCACATGACTCTGAGAGAGATTACATTATCTTCATGTATCATAATTACATTTGAACTAATAACGTCTGATTCTGTATCACAAATTCTCGCCCCCTCAGATGATTGACATGTCACAGCATCAGTACAGTACTTGATGATATACACAGGTGGAAAGAGTGCACAACAAAATCCTCAAATACAAGTACAGTTTTCAGTGCAAATGTTAATTTAGAAAAATAAAGTTTATAAAGAGAAAACTTAACTTTATGTAGACATGTTTTGAAAAAAAAAATTTTGTTCCAATTCTTGGAGAAAAATGGGATATTGGAGGAGTAATTATGATGAGTCGCTGCTACTAGACCTAAAGGGGGTTCAGGTGTGTGTTAGGGATACTGGGGGCCTCCCTTTGGATGTCCATTTGGCGATAGCTTACTTGGAGGAGAGCAGGTTTTTGCAGAATGAACTATATCTCTTTCCCCTTTAGAGTCTTCCAGAATGAGCTGAATAGTCTCACTGTGAACTGGAAAGTCAGGGTTTACCTCCTAATCCCGATTCCCTTAAGAACATTTTGAAATGTAAAAGCAGCCATTACACCAAAACTTTCTGATAGTCTAACATGAATTCAAAAGAAGAAGAATCTAGACACAGCGAAGCAAGAAACAGTATTTATTTTCCGTTCACAGTGTGTACAATGTGTGCTGTTGTACCAGGTTACTCATCAGTAGCACGTTATATTGACCTCAGCTGGAAAAAAACAACCACGATGAGCACATGCAAAAGTGCACACCACCGAGACAAAAAGATTACAACTAAAATAATAATAAAAGAAAAACAAAAAACAGGAGATATAATACCATAGAGTAAATCATGATGAAGATACAGAAATGAAGCTGCTGACTGTAACATTCAGCGTGTAAGTCACTCCACAAACTGGCTCCAAATAATGTCAGAATTTGGAGGGGAAAGGTGACTTGATTTTATTCCATTATTCAGTGAAAGCTGCTACAACGTACATCACCTCCTGCTCAAACTAAATCTGTAATGAGGAGAAACAATTTACATGAATGCTGTGGACGTTAACAATTCTAACCCTGAAATGCAAAATATCTCTACCGGTTCCCTTCCGTGTTAGGGTCACTAAAGCTTTTTAGTGTGCCTAGACAGATGCACAGCAGAACAAAAAAAAAAAAACAGCAGAAGTTTCCTGACAAGAAAAATGTGCAGCAGATGATCTCATAATCAATGTTAAGCACAGAGAGAAGATGGCATTGGATTTTATGGACACTTTGAATACTGAAATAATACAAGAACCAACAGGACAGATACACAACGAAGTGTACAGTACCAACATGCAGGTTACAACAGTGAGCACTGAATCACGTAAGAGCAACCATCGCCTCTGCTTCCATTGATTAGAAGACGAGCCTTTCTGCATGATTACGGCTACATGGGATATTTCTTAATGTTCTTTTTTCAAAAATAAAATCTCCAACATTCAAAGCCAAGGTGTCATCTCTTTACAATATACAACACCAATCATAGACATATTTTTTATATATATATTCATTCCATGTAAAATATATTCAAGCCAGAAAAAAATACACATTTATTCATCTGAAAATAACTTTTTATCCATATGAAATCAACTAGAGAAACCCCTGCGGGATTTGTTTAATCCACTCAGAGAAGGATGCTTAAGTGTTTGAAAAAACAAATAAACACGCAAACTATACAAGTTATTAACCTAAGAGTACAATCAAAGAAATATTCAACTTGCAAAAGAACTGTTTATTTTTATTTTATTTTTTTATACAAGTAGGAAGATTCCCACCATCCAATTCAAAGACTGACCTCAGCAGTTAGAATAATATAGAAGTTAATTTGCTAAAATCATGAGAACCGACAGGACAGATTTCGGTCTGTTGGTTGAAACTGACTTACTCGACCCTCCTTAATGCGATCAAAGCCGCTCCACAGAGACGTCCAGAAGATGCTACCATGTTGGAATTACACAGGATGGTACTTACTCTACAAGGCACACCGCACTATAATTTAATGGGTCAACTCACACACATATTTAAAGGTTTGGGCTTTATAGGGATGTCCCCATCCAATCCATACGGTCCTGATTCAAGGATTTTAGGTGATTTGTATTCAACTCTACTCATGATAATCCAGCACCACACCCAGCAAGCCATACTGCAACTTTGTAAAATTAATTCCTTTTTTCTGAAGGAGAAAAGCAAAATGGTTATCTTTTCAGTCAAACAGCTGTTTGTTTTTCCCTCACAAGCTAAGTAGCTCTCACCCTTTAAAGGTGCTTAGAGTGAAAGAGAGACTGTATTGGCTGCTGCTTGTTTTAGCCTGATAGCGTTCCACAGACAGCCGTCAATGCTGGGGAGAGCCGCTGAAACACTAAACATAAAAAAACAAACAGGAAAACAACTTTCTTTAAATCTTGTTAATACAAACAAACGGTACTAAAATCAAAAACATATGAAAATATCAAAATCTGGAAAAATGTGTTTTATACAACCTTAAAAAAAACTGTTTGGCTGAAAAGCGTCAAGTTGCTGAATATGCTTTACAAAAAACAAGGAGTAAACATGATAGCATTAGCTTATCATTTGAGCAAACATATCTGGGTAAAAAAAAAACAATTATAAAAAGGATTAAGTTAATTAAAGCTTGAAGCTACTGTACATGTTGAGTTAGAAATAACTTAAAACTAACTTTAACTGAATGTCCTGTAGAAATGATGTTTTATATAACCTGTAAGATTGATCAAAACAGAGAGTAAACCTGCTAGCTCTAGCCTAGCATATTAGCCGCTTCTTAACATGAACATTTCCTTAGAAAGAAAAATGAAGTTTCTTTAAAAACTCTTACTAACAAAATATTTGTACATTTTTAACTAATTATATCAGAGAATAGAGATGCTAGCTTTAGCAGAGCACTTAAAAAGCAGCTCTAGGTGAACATCCCACCAACAAATGCAACATGACAGTATCATAATTTCTGTATTTTTAACTGAGGTCAGATATAAATTAAAGTAAATCAGGGATATAAAAGCTATTTAATTATCAATAAACCATGTCAAGGCAGGGTAAACATGCTGGTGTTAGCCTAGCATCTCAGTGAACTGTTCATCAAGAAAATGACATGGGCTTATTTAAGACTGTAGATGTTAAATCAGATAAATCTTTAGAAAAAGGAATTGGCCTTAAATCTTTATTGTTTTCTGGTAGCCACAGCAAAACATCTGTAGATGCATGAGGTACGGCAGGTGCTGCATCATCCTGGACACCAGTGAGTAGAGTTGTGTTGTGTTGGACACCTTCACTATACAAATGTGGACCCAAGTCTAATAAAGCTTCTATATGTCATGATTGAATGCTTTAATCCTAAACTACCGTTTAGTCTAAAGCATAGACAAAATCCTGACTGGGTCATCCCTACTTGTTCATATATTGAGGATTACTTTTTATCAGAAAACAGTCTGATTATGATTCCAACTGCGGAAACAATCCTGTCAAAGAAAACTGGCCTCTTAAGATTTCTCAATATTTGCATAGTATAACAGTTTGTTAAAGTGTTTACAGTGAGTGAGGCTAGTTAAAAATGTTCTGGACTCAGTATTTCTTCTAACCTTTCTTGGAATTACCAGGACCGATTCTTTTTAGCCTTTTAGAAGCATGCCAAAGACTTTATGGGCAAATCGTTAACGCAGAGCTGCACTCCAGAAGTAGAGAAACAGCCACCATTAAACTGCCGTCTGGCATAAATCATAAGAACAACAGACCATAAATGTAGTAATCCCAACCCAAGCGAGGGAAAGACTGTTCTCTTCCTACGGGTTTGCGGTGACGCAGAGAGAACAAGGGGAAGCTGCGATCCCTGGATGCTGGCGCTTTTCTCCACAGGAGAGATGCATATAAAAATACTTTAGACCCTGAACACATCACATCCATGCAGCGACTCAAAGACCTGCAGTATATTGCTTCATTACAGTACAATCATCCTCCACTGCAATACAGTATAGAGCAAACTCCTATTCAGAAGCTGCATTTCCTCTTAAAACAAGAGAAAGGAGGAGAGATGGAGACAAAAAAGAGAAAAGTGTGATGTCTGCTAACAAATGCTACAAAAAGAATAATTCCATGAAATTTAAATTCGCCTTTAAAAACATTAACACAACATAATTTATTCTTGTTATTCATGACCCATTTTATAGTTAATATCTTCAGTGAAAGTAAACAGCCTGAAGGCAAAGTGTCACAGAGAGGTTAGGGACGTCTGGAAGCATGGAGAGATGGAATGAGGGGAAGAGAGCTGGAAAAGAGCTGAAACCATGAGTGTCGATGGAAAGAGAAAGAGATGCAGCGCAGAATCTGGCTTTTCCTGATCATTCATAGCAACACTTGAGTGATTTTGCTTCATCCAAGTTGGTCGTTTTCAAATTAACACGGCAGCAAAGACCATTACTGGTACCATGACTCGCTGCTATATTGAAGGTTCTGGTTGGAAAGTACCTGCAGACGTATCCAAAGTTAAAGACATCAGTATTAAAAAAAAAAAATCACATGTCCGTTTAAGGCATAGTGATTAAAATCATTAATCTAACAGAGTTTTATTATTCTCAAAGGCTTCCGAGGACACTGTGTATTCAACATCCAGTATCACCCGAACTGGTTTTGCAGTTAGTACCAGGTAGTAATAGAAGAATATTATAAATTAATCCACAAGTGCAAACTCATTATATGAAATGTTCAGAACAAGGGAGTAAAACAAAAATCAACAACATGATGGTGTGTTTAGAGGAAATTGGCCCTTCTTCATCCTAACATAGTACTCACATAAATTCATTTGAGCTAAAGCGCTTGGTAGAGATGCAGCGAACGATTAGTTAGCGGCTGAAATCAGATACTTCTTTGAACTGGCCTTCTGACTAGTGATCAGCAGGTCACAAACCAGAAAATCAGATTTTCTTGTTTATTAAATGCAACACAATGTAAGAACTTCCCTAAAATTGGTCTACAAATGCAACATATTCTCTAATAAAGTTTAGAAATATGTGCTTTGATACATAAAGTGGCATAACGCTTTAATCGTTTAATTTTCTGTTGGATTTTAAAATACTACATCTATTAAAGGACCTGCGGCACTTGTTTCTCCTTTCTGAGTCCTAGTCATTCTGAGTAAATGGATTCAAAGACAGCAGGATGTCAGTTCCCGATCAGAAAAACCTGATGGGTGCATTTACTGTGTTCAGATCCTTGAGGACTAAACTGAAAACACTGCAGATATATCCACCTATTCTCACATATTTTACTCAAAGATTGAAGTTTAAGATGAACAATATTTAAAGAAAAAGGATGTTTTCAAATGTATTCTTTTTAAAGTTGCCTATTCCTCATCTGAATCAGCCTACAGAGCTTTTTTTCTTACTCTCACCAATGTTTTTGAGGTAGTCTTTATGCAATCTAATTTATTTCAAGAGTTTTTATTCCAGGAGATAAGAATACAGATGGAGAACTCTGCAGTGCTTCCTCTAAACACTTCCAGCTCTGTGGCTTTTGTTTGTTTTTGGCCCTTGTTAGGTTTGTTTATAATGTTCCCTTATGAGCGAGGATTCAGGAAATCAGGGCAGAGCTGGTTATCAGACGTAACAGAGGCGCAGAACCTGAGTCGGTCCACAGATATAGTGTTTTCTGTGTTCTTTAGGACTTCTCTGTGGCTTTTCCTTCGACCTGATGGTGGCTGTTGCTGCAGTGGATTTGAGAGAGATTGAGGCTGCTGGGTGAAGTGAGGCAACACATGGACTCGATCTCCTCCAGGAGGCCTGGATCCTGCCTCCCGGTGGTCTCTGAGTCTTTACTCTGACCCAGACACAGGCCAAGCCCCAGAAGCGAATCTTTGGAAACTTCTTTCTCCCACGGTACCTGGATGCTGGCCTGGTTGTTCTTCGTGGGGCTCACCTGGTGCTGCTGGTTTCCTCTGTTGCCTTGCCTCTTCACTGACCGCTCGTGGTAGTTTTTCACCATCTCTTTCGACAGCACCTTTCTCCTCAGGATGCCGGTGGACCCAGTTTGATCCTGGGTTTGGGAAGGCTCAGAGCTGCCCTGAGGGTCCGAGGAGGTACGATTCCGACCCGTCGGTGCAAGAGAAGAGTTTGGATGAGATGCAGGCGCTGCAGAGCTGTGGGTGTGAGAGAGTTTGGGGGATGGGGGTGAAACCTTATGGGAGAGCAAGGGGGAGTAAGATAGGCGGTGGTCTCCTGGTGGTCTTCCTGATGGGAGAAGGTGAGTGTCAAGATCAGACCTAGAGGAGTAGGTAGGAGGAGGATCTGACTTGGTGCCGTTGGCATCATGGGAAGCTGAGTAGGGGGACTCTGCAGAGCGTGTAGAGAGGTTCTTGGAGCCCTTAAGGCTACTTTTGTTGGGTTGTCTGCGTGGAGATGGAGGCAGGTGTTTCCCATGGACGGCGCTGTCATCCTGGCCCATGTTCCATCCTCCATGTTCAGCTCTAGCATCACAGCTGCCCTCATCCTCAGTTCTTGAGTCACTGCATGGCTTTGGCTTCAATTGTAATCAAAGCAAGGAAATACAGAGAAAACAAAGTAAAAACCATGGTGAATCTGTACATCATGCAGGTTTGAATTCAGTCGTTTCCACTCCATGCATCCCACTACAAATCTCTTTCTAAAATGTATTTTCATTTAACTCATCCTTCTTGCGTACCTGAGCCTTGTAGTCCAAGTCATCCAAGGACCTGAAGAAGTCCAAGCTCTTGGCTCCACTGAGTTTCCCTTGATCCATTGTCGTGGTGGTCAGAGAATCCAGGATTTCCTCCAGCAGGTTCATCTGGCTGGACGGCGAGGGTTCGATGTCCGGGTAGAAGGAATCAGAATCATCGCTGTCCTCTGTGTATGACTGGACCTCGCCGCTATCTTCAGATGAGATCCTGGATTGAAAATATAAAGATTCTAAAGACTTATCTGAAGGCAATCCATTAAATTCTTCTTTAATGGCAAAAAATATAATTTTTGAAAAAAAGTGTTAATTTAAAGGCGTGTTTTAAGCAGGAAAGATGGAGTTTCTGTAAAGCAAATTGCAGAATTACAGAAAATATTTCAATAGAAGTCATTCATTTGAGACAAGATATGAAGAAACAACCTACAGACTGCAAGAAAGTTGTTGGATGCAGTTCTTTTAGATTCTATAATCTGATTTCTTAGCCAGTTCTTCCAAAACAGAAACATTAGGCATCCATGTTTAGAGTTGTTTGAGCATTTATCCTTGTGTGGTCATTCTGTGAGTAACTCAAAACAATATGTGGTAGACGAAGAGTTCAGTGATGAAATTATTACCATCAGGCAAGCATATCTAAAAGAAAACAAACTTGCATGAAGAAACTTCTTAATTTAAACAGAAAATGGGAAAACGTCTAGAACTGTCATTATATATATGGACTCAACTCTGTTTTACGTTTTAACAAAAAAGTTAATGATAGTTTTCTTGAAATGAAGGTAAGCTGCATTAAATAGATTTAATACAAACTGATTTTTAAGACGCATTTCTTTAAGTTAATGTTAATCATTGGTCTAACAGGAAATTAAATGTCAGAAAATCGGAATTTTACTATAAAGGATACAGGAAGCGCAGACAATATATGTAATGCCCTATGGGGACATAGTGGTTGTGTTGGAGGGTGACGGGTTACTTTCCAAACAGACCATTTACATGTTATTGGAAAGTTAAGCGACATGAAAAAAATTGTAGAAAAGTGCACAACCATCAGGAAAAACTATATAGAGGGATATTAATGCTGAATTTCTTGTGTATGAAATCGCCCAGCCAGATGTAATATCAGAACAGTCTTTCCTGGGTTGTGGAGAGAAGGTATATGACTAATAGGATCAAAAATACTTTATTAGATTAAAGAAAATTTAGCATTTTAGTTTAAAATTTCAGAGAAATATTAATATAATGTCATCGTAGATGTTCTTCATCCATAGGTTGAATGCGGCTAACCTTAAGGTTCATAACAGGCAATAAACCACATACTATCACATTGTATGTGGCTTATAGACTCACTACTTACAGCCTGCGCTCTGAGGTTTGCATTATATTTAAAGCAACGTTGTTTAACTTTTAGCCAGTAGCAGTGCTGGACCTGAAAATACCAAGTTTAGCTCCCTTATAAAAATCAGGCAACAAAATAATAAAATTAAACAGCCTCCCTCCATGTTTTGAAATCTGACAGCAGACCACTGTTAACCAACAGATTGAGTTATTACTGTAAAGACAAGAAAACATTCTCTAGATTGAACCCTAAATCACAGAATCCAAAAATATCTAATCAGGTAAGGCTTTTATCTGCTTGCATTTTTTTTTTAAACTTTCATTGTCTAATGACTTGAACTGAAACTTTTCATCAATGGGAATTACCTGTAAAATTAGAAATATTGAAATAAATAAATGAACTACACTCACAGTGAGTGATTATCTATTTTGTTTAATGAACTCCAGATTCATCAAAAAAAGAATCTGGCAATTTTAAAGCACCAGTTGTAGTGACAATGGTTGATTGCCCAGTAAATGGGCCAGACCTAAACCCAATAGATAGCCTTTGTTGTTTCATACAGAGTAAGAGAAGCTAGAACCAAAAAAGCAGTGAAGCTTAAATCTATAATTAAAGCAACCTGGACTTCCTGCCCTCTCCAGCAGAGCCACAGACTGATCTCCTTTATGCTGCAGTGATGCAGGAGTTTTTTTTTAATGCAAAAGTCTTGACCAAGCATTGGGATCATACCTATACAGAACAATGATATACTTTTTGGAAAGGGAACATTTCTCCAACAAAAGAAATCTAATTCATAGGTCCTATCTAGTATTTATAATTCACTATCAAAGTAAATTTCTGGATTTAATTAGTTGTAAAATTGCCATAATCACCAAAACCGCATGCAAAATTTCACTTTATCAATTAAATATTTAACATAAACAAACTTTTAAAATGCAGCTTTACTTGTAGGTCCCCTACTGCTTTGTCCATCAAACAGTGCTGTGGGTAAATTAGTCCACTGGGGGGCAGTATCATCATTAGCAACAGGAAGGAACGTCTTCCTTTGTAGACCAAGAACTCCCCATGCAGCCAACTCAATCCATCAGCCAAAGTTCTCCACTCTAGCATCTTTGTTTGTACAGGAAAGTAAATATAAACAACATTGCATTTAGCTACTCACTTGCTTGCAGTGTCCAACTCATCATCGTCCAGCCCATAGCCAAGGTCTCGAAGGCCCACGCTCATAGGAGACTTGTTTAAGTTGTGCTGTTAATGAGAATAACAAAGCAAATGGATGCGGTTAAAGACTCAGGATAATATGATCACAACAAAAGTGGACCCAAGGGGGGCTCAGGTACACTTTAACGTCACACTGCTCATAACTAAGGCTCTGCAGAGATGGAGTGTTTAACAAAACTACACAGAAAAAAAAAAAAAAAAAAAGAGTGTCAGGTGAGTCCCTATAGTAGAGAACAACTAGCTTGTTTTAATGAAGCCAGACCCTGAGGGTTGAGACTAAATTTGTCAAACTTGTGTCTGCAGGGAAAACAAAAACCTTTAAGATCGCCTGCAGTAATTTGCCGAGCTCAGCATTACATAGAAGCTAAAAGGCATTTGAGTGCTGCAAACACAGGTGACTACATTGATCATTTGCATTACAGCACCAGCACATGTGATTGCATTTGTCATAGCAGAGAGCTGAGTGATCAGTGTGGAGTGTAGAAGTCTGCCGCAGTGGGTTTAATAAGCCACCTGTGTACTGTGTTTAATGGGCGGGTTAAAGAAGAGACAGAAGCTTTACAGAGCAGGGCAGGACTCTCCCCATGGGAGCCCAAATCTGCCCCAGGCCACTTATTAACATGCCTTCCACCACAACGCACATGTTCCTCTCACTATGTGTTCATGTTCACTGATGTTAACACTATCTCTCATCTTCTAATTTACACTCTTTCGTGCTCACCTCTGTTTTCTTTTTCTCTAACTTTCCTCCAAAGTCTGTTTCTTTCATATAGAATCAACCGCTCATGAGGTTCTGCCAACTTGACTGAACTTCTTTCTAAAGCTAATATCTAGACCTTTCTTTTGACTCAGCTTGTTAATAAAACAATATTTAATGGTTAGTTTTTTTTCCCTTTCCTCACATTTTTGGGTAAATATTTTACAGAGAGAGTATCTCCTAAATAGAAGCTTTTTAGCAAACACTGCTCAACATTTGAGCTGCATATCAGAACAACAGTGTTGGTTTAGAATTTTCTTTTTTTAAAGCTCCAATCATAATCAATGCATTCAATAATAATTGATTACTGAATCAATGAAAGAGGCAAAACTGTCGACCAGGTAGGCAGGATGTAATCAGTTAGACCCACCATGCCTGCACCTGTGGTGCTGCCTATGCCATTGATATTCTTCAAATCAATGTCTGGAGGAAAATGCGTAGCATGAACCGACCTTTAATGACTTTTAAACCACAGAGACTCTTCGCTCTTTTGTCTCTCTGGACTCTCCCTTTTTGCAGCAACAAGCTGCTTCTGAATCCCAAAGTGAAAAACTCCCAAACATCCAAACCTTGAGCAAATCAGAACTTCACTATTGTTTGAAGTACTGCCGTTACTGATAGAAGCAGTGATGTCTTCTGTGTCCACACCTGTCTCTAAGCCAAAGAGACGGACCTATAGTCACGGCGTCGTTCTGTTTTTGAATGAACCGCTGCTCTGGCAGCTATTGGGCTGGTTTGTAATATAACAAATGTATGTTTTCACACTCCATTCTCTTCATCTCATAGTCCTAAGACTGTTATAAATTATTAAAGTCTCAAAGAAAATAACCTCTTTCTTGACATCTGAGTGTCAAACAGATTCTTCATAACTTTGAGACTTTAATTCGCTTCACTTTAAAAGAAAACTAAACATCTTTTGATTAGCTCTTCATCATTGGATAATGTGTATAAGTGCTTTGATGGTGGTTCATCTTAGTTTATTCAGATGTGGTTTATTATAGTGAGCAGACACCGATTACTATCCCCCAACAATCTCTTAATGTTCACATTTTATGTTAAATCTTTCAAAAAAAATATTGAATCTACATCATATTAAAAAATAAAACTGTTTTCTTCTTTAAGAGTGCAATTTTTCTCCAAATGGAAAGAGGTAATTAATAGTGCTGGTGAAGCAGGTCTTTTTAAGGCCATAATCATTTTAAAGGTATAGTGGAGGATTTTTATGAATTTTTAAAAAAAGACCCGCCCTCTCCACCAAAAAAAAAAAAAAAAAAGTGCACATGCACAACCCTGCTCCCAAGAGCATGGACCAGCCTATTTCTCCTTGCGCAAGCTCCGTTTAAAAATAGCTTTTTGCATCACTTATATAAGCTTACTTTCTACAAGAAGATATGCAATTTTTCCACTATGTCAGACTCAACACCGTGTTCTGCCGAGAAATACAGGCCTATCGAAATTACCTCCCCTCTTGCACACTGACGGGAAAACGGACTGAATACGAAGGGAAATTTTAAACATATTCTTAACATTTTCATATTTCTTATGCATGGATGCCCTAAAAATTAGTTTTGGTGGACAGATAAATGCAGAGAAATTCCTGCCTGCCGAGAATTACCTCCCGTAATGGGGAGGTAAAGGTCCCGAAAATGGGGATGAGTATGTAGGCCCGTGAACATATCACCAAATGATTGACAATTAGGGGGACCACTTATTTAGATTATCCACCCAGAAAAAGAACATCATCCACTATACCTTTAATTGATACAAGAAAAATATAAAGTTATGTTTTCAACAGACCTTAAAACTCTACATTGTTAGAGCCTGAATGGGATCTGCTAATTGCTCCTTGTTCTACTTTATCGTACATTTACACGTCCCTTTTGATTTGTCCCTTTACGACTAAAACATTTTTTGAGGAGCAGACTGACACCTCAATAGTTCAACACATGTATCTATAAGCCTGTATCCTATTTTCCAGAATTTACTTTGTGTCTGAAGTTCCCGCACTGTTCGGCGATGTGACGTCAAGCACTTCCATGTTAAATGGGTCCAATCCAGCCAACAATCGAAACGTTGTATTCAAGATGGATTTTGTGAATACTCAGAAGCAAAAAACATCAAACTCAACTCATACACCAATGGCAACTCCATATAAGCTGAAAAAAGTAAAAAAACAAACAAAAACAAAAAACGTCTAGTAGGAGTAAAAGCTACAAGGAGCAGAAGAGAGCTGCAGTTCTGTGCTTTGGCCACAGGTGGCAGCATAATTAGAAAACTGGTTCTTCTGTTCCTTTTGTATGTAACCAATCATAATTCACACAAAGCAGAATTAGAGGTTTGCTTCTTTTAAAGAAAAATGAATTCTATAAAATCAAGCAATCAAACTCCACCCTGTTTTTATTGCCAGTGTGCACTATTTTATAAAAGTCCTCCACACTGCTGGATCGCAGCTTTGTGTTTAGCTCCACCTCCATGTTCTTTTTCATGCACTGTTACTCTGAAAGTGTTGAACACACAATAATGAATCTCCTCAGACAGAAAAGAACCCTCAGAGTGAGAAACTTGTGTTTAGAAACAGTCAAAGGTGACCGAGAATGTGACCAGCGAGGATGAGGAAGAAAGGAAATGTAGGAAGGAACTCTGTACGAATTGATGGGAGAGTGTATGTGGAGGCGAGTTGCAAGGGTGAGTAACTGTGAATCAAGCTGGTTCTGATTAGTGGGACCAGTGCCAGCCAGACAGCGGAATGTAACGTGTGGCTGGGCTGCCCTCATTTAAGGTCCGTGTTCGGCCATGAGAGACGCACACACTACCACGCAGGCTCTATCACATCCGCACCCTATTACCAAAAAAAAAAAATACAAAGAGTTAAAGTGCCACTTTCTCCATAAAAGGCAGTGAAGGAGATGTGTGCAGTAGCACTTAAGCCTCTCAGCCATCAGGCTAAACATGAACACATGTGGTGGCACCGCTGATTGGCCGAGGCGCTCCCCTTCCATGGTAGCTTGGAGCTATAATAAAAGAGATTTCAGAGGGGCTCAGGCCTGGGATCCCTAAACAGCCTTTAATGGGTTCCTGTGTCAGGGCCGTAAATCTGGGGCCTGGGCCGTCACGCCAGCAAGCCGCAGTGGGCCGGGGAAGCAGCGATGCACCTGTGAGACACTGGAGAGGGGAAATATACAGAAATACTTCCACACAAACGTGACACGCACACATGTCTTAGTGCAAACTGTTTATTTCACCCAGGCAGAGTATGAGAGGGCAGCCCCCCCTCTCTGCATCTAGGTGTTTATTAAAGCAAGGTGAACTCAAACACCACCGGACACAGGTCACGAAGCCTGGCACTCTGATCTCAGTTACAGCTTTGGTGCCGTCTGCCTGAAAGGAAGTTCCACAGGGAGCAGTAAATGGATGGGACCTCACTTCACTGTTTTATCAATTTGTCATTCCTGCTCTCCATTGTGAGCCTACAGAGCCACATTTGAAATTAAACTGCTGCTGCAACAACAAGGTATTTTATTACTGAAGGACCACCAGCTGGTTTAGATCATTTCTTTTTAAAGATAAAAAAGTAACATGGTGGATTCATGTTGATGAAATCCACAGGGTAAAAGATCCTCCCTCCTCAGGGCAGTGGGAGAGTTTCCACGGAAGCTGATTCACATTAAGTCAACAACAATAACAAAAACGCGCAGACATTCCCAATAAAAGCTTCTCCCTCCGCTGAAGCCGTGACAGCTCTGTCACCATCCCACTTCTCCCCAGGCCTGACAGGGCAGTGGAGAGCATGAAATAGGAGAACAACAGATTATCATACTGCTCCTTCATTAGTTCCTCGCTGTCGGCTAATGGGAAGCTGAAAGGTGAAAATGAAAAAGCAATTCCCGCTCCATGCCTTGCTGTCTCTCATTTTCTCCCTCTGTCACTCTGCTGCCACTCACAGATGTCACCATTTCCGTCTGTCTGTCTGTCTTTTCGATTCCTTCCTCTTCACCACGTTGCCACAAGTAAAGACCGAACACAGCCAGAGCTCAGGGAAGGAGTCAACGGGAAGAGAAGCCATAAACAACTTCAGAAAAGCTACAGTTATTTTAGTAACTTGATTTAGCATTCCTGAATATGCCGAGAAGACTGTTGTGCTTATCTAATGTGGATGGGATTAGATATGTCTGCTTCTTTATCAACATATAGAAGGGGAATTTATTTATTTTTTAATCTCCAATGAGTATCTCAATCAGTTAACTTAAGAATAGAAAAATCCTGTCTGAGA